ATCTAGTGCAAATCTATAGGCCATGTGAGACATGGTCCCTAATGGATTCTGGAGTAATGGGGTTGTGCTGGTGTAATGCCACATTTGTGGTTAGCATTAATCAAATTGACACATGACTGCTACATAAATATCTAGAGTCCAGTTTAATGTTTTGTTTTAGTACAAAAATTAGTGAAAATTTATTGAGTTATATACTTGATTTTTGCACCTTTCTGTATATGTTACTTCAGTAGAAAGTTTACTAAACATTAAAATTATTGAAATATTGGTAACTATTTAGGAAAATGTATATACTCTCCAGCGTTTGCTCTGGTCCCATCCACCTTACAGGTTTTCTCTCCTGCTAGTCCCTTCTAGTAGCTTAGTCTGGTATTTCTAAACCTTTATCCTGTAATAATCATTTAGAAAACTAAAATGAAAGTTCTTCCACACTGCTACTTCTCCCTAGCTTAACAATTTCCAATCTTGTTTCACATTTCGATTGTAACTATTACAAAGAAATCTTAAATTTACAAATAAATTATATATACAAATATACATTTGTTACACATATAAAGTTACATTCTAATATGGTGCATACATTCCCCAGGAGATTCTGATATATACAGTACCTCTGTAGTTGAGAATTTATTATGGTGACAAATAGGATTTGTCCTATTAATACATTAATTCACCGAGCATTTCCTGAGCTCTTATAATTGGTACTAAGGATGGAAAGAGCAAAATGTACTCAGAGTATATTTCCAAAAAAAAGAACAGTGTAATAAAGACTCCAAGGCATGGAAATAATTTATTTATGCAAATCACCAAATCTGAAATTATGTTTAAGAATCAGTCTTTTAAAATATACGACTGAGAGTTTTTTTTCTTTTAGGTTATAAAATTAAATATTTAAGGAAAAACTGGCTGGTCGTGGCTGGTATGACTCATTTGCTTGGGCATCATTCCATGCAGCAAAAGGTTGATGGTTCGATTTCTGGTCAGGGCACATGCCTGGGTTGTAGCTTGATCCCTGGTTAGGAGTGTGCAGAAGCAGTCTATCAGTGTCTCAGTGTTTCTCTTTCCCTCTCCCTTCCTCTCTAAAAAAATCAATTAAAAATCTTAAAACAAAATTGGTTGGAGCCGTCTATCTAGTGTTAAGGTTAGCAATCTGACCAATCCTAGTATTTTTTTGTTTTAAATGAATCTCTTGTAGGACCCTGTTTTATTTTCCCTAGTCTCTGTATTACTGAATTTCAGTTTCTCTTCATAAACTTTAAACTTGATTTTAAAATTCTTTGTTATTTTGATTTTTCAGTTACCCTTTGAAATTTTTTCATATATTAGCAACATCTTATTTGTGATTTTTAAAAGAAAATTTGTCTGATGGGTAAGTTTTAAATAAAGGGATACTCTAAAAATAAGATTTCATAAGTCAAAATCATGATTACTTGAGAATTGGCAATTTATCATACAGAATAAAAGTTACTCTTTCAATGAAATTATTTTAGGTTTTTTTGAAGTCTGCTTCATTCATTCAACAAGTATTTATCGAGGGCCCATCAAATGCCTGGCAGTGTGTAATTGAGGCTGGAAGTACAGATGAATGAGGTAGACAGAGTTTTTGCTGTATGGAGTTCACCACTTCTATAGTTATAAACAACACTAGAGGCCCAGTGCATGAAACTTGTGCATGGGGGTAGGGTCCCTTCAGCCCGGCTTGCACCCTCTCCAATCCGGGACCCCTTGGGGGGTGTTTGCGGGTAGTCGGACATCACTCTCACAATCCGGGACCACTGGCTCTTAACTGCTCATCTGCCTGCTTGCATGATTGCCTCTAACTGCCACTGCCTGCCGATCTGATCTACCCTAACTGTCAGCTGGTCATCCCCAACCGTGCCTCCCCCCCCCCCCATTCCTGCTGGCCTGGTTGCCCCTAATTGCTCTCCCCCCCTCCCCTGCCGGCCTGGTCACCCCTAACTGCCACCTCCCCCACTGGCCAGGTCGCCCCTTAGTGGCTCCCCCGCCCTCTGCCGGCCTGGTCACCTCTAATTGCCTCCCTTGCATGCCTGGTCACCCCATACAGCCTGCTGTTCAATCATTTGATTATCCCTCATTAACCCACCTGCTGGCCTTGTCACCTCAGGCAGTGTGCTGATCGTTACTGTTACTGTGACGGTGTCCCGGACAATTTGCATATTCTTCTATTATAGTATAGACTAGTGGCCCGGTGCATGGAATTCATGCCCAGGGGGAGGGGTCCCTCAGCCTGGCCTGCACCCTCTGCAATCTGGGATCCCTCTCACAATCTAGAACCACAGTCTCCTAAGTATTCACCTGCCTGCCTGATGCCCCTGACTGCTTTCCTGCCTGCCTGATGCCCCAACTGCTCTCCCCTCCTTGTCTGATCTCCCTAATTGTCTATCTGCTCTCTCCTCCTGGCCTGATCCCCCAACTGCCTATCTGTACTCCCCTCCTGGCCTGATCCGCCTAACTGCCTATGTGCTCTCCCTTCCTCTCCATGCCTTCAGACCCTGGCACAGGAGTGGTGAGAGCTCTCCATTGAGTCTCCAACCCTGTCCTGACACCCCTCCCCCCCTCCAGGCCAGGTGGCGCCATAGGCCTGTGTGTGCTTCTGCTGGGGCCGCTGCTGCAGCCTGTCATAATGCTCCTCTCCGGGCCAGGTGGTGCTGCAGGTCTCTGCATGCTTCCACTGGAGCAAGTCCCCGTCCCCATCCCCGCCCACCAGCTGCTGTGCACACGCAGCCTGATTGTGACTGAAACACCATTAGGACCAATTAGCATGTTATCTCTTTATTATATAGATTCTGCTCTTATAATGAAGTGTGATGAACAATAAGCGTCTGTGAAAATACAGACGCTTAGCTATATATAGCTAAGTGCCCGACCATCAGTCCGATTGACCAGCTCATATATATATATATATATATATATATATATATATATATATATATATATATATAGCTAAGTGCCCGACTATCCGTCCGATTGACCAGCTGACAAACCAGCTAGTCTGACGTGCCTGGCAGTTTAAAAATAAATGTTGAGCCAAAACCAGTTTGGCTCAGTGGATAGAGCATCAGTCTGTGGACTCAAGGGTCCCAGGTTAGAATCCGGTCAAGGGAATATACATTGGTTGGCGGCACATCCCCGGTAGGGGGTGTGCAGGAGGCAGCTGATCGATGACTCTCTCTCATTGATGTTTCTAACTCTCTATCCCTCTACCTTCCTCTCTGTAAAAAAAATCAATAAATTTTTTTTTTTAAAAATTGACTTGCACATGTGCAATACATATAAACCTCTCAGAATGGTTATTATTGAAATCCCCTGTGAAATGATTTGTAATGGATCTATTATTTAAGCTGCTTTGGAAGTAGTATATCTATAGATAATATTAAAAATACACTTTAAATGTGTGATTCTTTGACCTAAAAATGTGCATGTACATAAATTAAATGAAGAAATTTTGGATATACTTGGTGGAGATTTTCACACCTATTTGAATGATAATTCCATTAATTGAAAGATGATGCCAAAAAGGAAAATTTTCCCATCAAATTTCTTAATAGTATTACCCCTTCAGAAATGCCATGTCATAAATCTGTAGGTGCAATCATCATGCTACTAAGAAATCTTAATAGTAAATGGGATCTTTGTAATGGTACTAGATTGATTATCAAAAGATTGTGACCTAACATAATTGAAGCTGAAGTATTAACAGGATTTGCAGAAGGAGAGGTTGTTCTGATTCCAAGAATTGATTTGTCCCTGTATGACACTGACCTCCCATTTAAATCAATTCGAAGACAGTTTCCTGGGATGCCAGCATTTGTGATGACTATTAATAAATAATAAGGACAAACTCTAGACAGAGTAGGAATATTCCTACCTGAACCCGTTTTAAGACATGGTCAGTTATATGCTTTCTCTTGAGTTTGAAGAGCATGTGGTGTTAAAGTTGTAAATACTTCATCACAAGGGAAATTAGTCAAGCACTCTAAAAGTGTTTTTACTCTTAATGTATACAGGGAGATATTAAAATAAGTTTAATCAATTTATCAGTCATTGTTTTTATCAATGTTATTATATAATGTTTTTGTTTTTATACCATGTTTTAGTTGTTTTTATATTCTGTCTTTATTGTTATATCATGTTACTGTTTATTAATCAATTTACATATTATTATCATATACATTTTACCAATTTTCTTTCATCTCTGACACTTTTATTATAGAGAAAGGGCAAATAGCAATATTAAAATGTTTTTTCTAATTAATTTCCTTTCAATGTGCACAAATCTGTGCACCGGGCTACTAGTTGAGCTGATAATTTAGAAGGTAATTTATCTCTCCTGTAAAGTTTCTGTGGCATTTAGATGCAGAATAAATAACAAAGAGCTATTTAAAAAAAAAATACTAAGGCTCCAGTGGCGCAATCGGTTAGCGCACGGTACTTATAAAAAAAAATACTCATCTATATCAGGGGAGCTTTATTTTATTTATGGTCCTCTTCAGTATAAAGTTACGTTATCTCCTAAAACAGTGGTTGCCAACCTTTCAGATCTCATGGACCACCAGTGGTCTGGTTGGTAACCACTGTCCTAAAATATATGTTAACCCGGATTTACATATTTCTGCCTTAGAGCTATTTTCCCCTTGCCACCAAGCTACCCTGAGAACAGATCTTGATGGAAGATAGGAATTGGGTCCTTATTAAAATAATATTAAAAATACACTTTAAATGTGTATTTTTAATATTATTTTAATATTATTTACAAACTTTCTGCCCTCAACTGTTACATTGCTGAAGTTGCAACCACTAACTAATTCAACTGACTACTGCTAGTCTTTTAATGAAAGTTTGTGATCATATTTCATACCTTGCTATAGTTAGTGTTTATTATTCAGTGGTGTTTTCAGTGTTTGAAAATGACACTTTTTGACAATGCAGTCTTACCATTTTATTTTAATTTTCCTATGTATTTTTTGCTTCCTTTACAGTACTCTGTGCAAAAAACTTGGTGAAAAAGGATTTTTTCCGTAAGTAAAATTAACTTTAAATCTTGTATTTTGTGTGTGAATTTTTTGGATAGCATTTTCAGAATTGTCTTGTCTGATTTATGAATTTTTCTATTCAGAAACATACTCAGCATTGTTGTTTGGTTCAGAGCCTTTTGGCATCACTTTTTCTGTGTGTGTTTTTTAAAAAATGTATTTTTTTATTGATTTTAAGAGAGGAAGGGAGAGGGAGAGAGATAGAAACATCAATGATGACAGTCATTGATTGGCTGCTTCCTGCACGCCCCCCACTGGGGATCTGGCCTGCCACCCAGGCATGTGCCCTGGATTGGAATCGTACCCGGGCCCTTTCAGTTTGTAGGCTGACGCTCTATCCACTGAGCCAAACCGACTAGAGCAGTTTTTCTCCTTTTAGAGGATTTTGATCTTTTTAGTTTTAACCCTTTTCCCTTTAGTCATCCCTCCCATATATTTGTGTGAAATGTGTGTGTGTGTATGTGTGTGTGTGTGAGTGTGTGTGAGTGTGCATGCTTCTGTGTATATGCAGATGAGTGTAATGTATATTAAAGGTGTTTATGCTACTAGATTTCTAGAAAAAGTTGGAGATTATTTATTTTGTAAACACTTTCCCCCCTATCATTTTATAGCAAATTTTACCCATGCATTCAGGATCCCTTAGAAAGTAGCAAAGTCATTCAGTTTGCTTGGAGTTTCCAGGCTGTAGGAAAGAAATCTCTGCCACATTTGATCATAGATGCTCTTGTCTCAGACTCCAAAGTGGACATTTGGTTCCCGCATTTGCAGTCTTTTTGCTGATCTATTGTGAAATTTTCTTGTGGCTTTATTTAGGATTAAGTTTTGAGAAGAAGGATAAATTAAGGGTAGCTTTAATTTATTGAGTATAACAGTATAAAATTTTTATTAAAAACTCTAAGCCAACAAAATTTTATATGTAAAGTATTTGAAGTTAGAAATCAATAATTATTAGATTTTAAAATTCATGTTCTAGCCCTAGCTGGTTTGGCTCAGTGGATTGAGCTTGTGGACTGAAGGATCCCAGGTTTGAGTCTGGTCAGGGCCACATGCCTGCGTTGCAGGCTTGATCCCTAATAGAGGGCATGCAGGAGGCAGCCAATCAATGATTCTCTTTCATCATTGATGTTTCTCTCTCTCTCTTCCTCTCTGAAATTAATAAAAATATATTTTTAAAAATTCATGCCTAGCAACCAGCAAAATCTAGCTGTAAGTGCTAACTTAATATGACATTATATAATTCTTGAGGGTTTGGTTAAAAGAAATAACAATCTCTTGATATATTTTTATTTTTTATTTTTTATCTTTAAAATAATTGATTTTTCACAGAGAGGAATAGAGTTAGAAACATTGATGAGAGAGAAACATTGACCAGCTGCCTCCTGCACATCCCCTATCGGGGATGTGCCACAACCAAGTTACACAGCCTTGACTGGAATTGAACCTGGGACCCTTGAGTCCACAGGCTAATGCTCTATCCATTGAGCCAAACCAGTTTTGGCTCTTGAAATATTTTTAAATCGTACTTAATTTATTCCACTTAAAATTTTACTATTTTCAGTCTTCCTAGTGTAGAATCTGAATTAAAGCTTATAAAATAACTTTTTATAAAACTCTGTAATTAAAAATTGGTGTGGTATCTGTGCTATAGGACATAGTTAAGAAGAAAGATACAAGCAGTTGATGTACCATTTACCCTGTGCCCCAATTTTGTACTCAGTGGTCTTTCTCTGGGCTGCCACTAATTACTGTTATGTTCACAAGCTGGTGCTGGACTACGCACCACCATCAACCCTGTCTCTAATAACCTAGTAACCAGTGTGTATTTTTTATTTTTAATTTTTATATATATATTGATTTCAGAGAGGAAGATAGAGGGAGAGAAATGATAGAAACATCAGCGATGAGAGAGAATCATTGATTGGTTGCCTTCTGCATGTCCCCTATTGGGGATTAAGCCCATAACCCGTGCATGTGCCCACACTGGGAATTGAACCATGACCTTCTGCTTCATAGGTGGAGGCTCAACCACCGAGCCATGCCAGCTGGGCCAGTGTGTACTCTTTTTACCCTTCTTAGGATTGGTCTGAGATAGGATTTATCCTAGTAGGACTGCAGTATGGCAAGTAGGATCAGATAGGTTGGTGACAAGGAGAAAAGGATGGGAAAGTGAGGACTGCACAAGTTCAGCTGCATACTTCCCAAGACATCTGCTCTGGTTTTAAAGATAAAATCTTCAGTTTTGTCTTCCAGCCTTCCTCCCCAAATTGTTTTCCTTCCTTCAGAGCCCCAAGATACAGTTTCTCCAATGAAATATCCAGATAGTCATGTCTCAGCTTTCCTAGGAAATCTAGAGGGATCTTACTTTAATTCTTTGTAAACCTCTTAAGAGGCGATTATCACTCAAATGATCTTTATCTGTCCTTAATTTGTATGTAAAAAAATAACACAAAAAAGGAAACTTTCTCCCTTTTATTGGTATAAGCAGTAAAAAATTGATATTCTTAAGAATAGTGAGCTTGTTTTTAGGGATAAAAAATTTAGGGGAAACTGTGTGACTGTCTTTAAAACCCGGAGTAGAAGAAACACTTGATGGCCCTGGAAAGGGAAACAGGAAAGCCAGTCCTGAGGCTTCAGGAGGGACTCAGCCAGGATGGACCACCCCAGGTTCACGCTGTGATGACGGTCCTCCCGCTCTGGTAGATTTACATTTATTTCCCTCTGTTTATAAGTTGTAGGTTGTTCACATTAGTTTCAGAGAAAGAATTAAATAATAATTCTTAAATCTCTTAAGTTTGAGTGAAACCAGAATGTAATTATCATTGTTAGTGAAATATAGCTAAGTTTTTGTTGTAATTCAGTTTAAATCGTGTTGTATGAGAAAAGTAAAAAATTAAAAAAATATATATTTTATTGATTTTGTACAGAGAGGAAGGGAGAGAGAGATAGAGAGTTAGAAACATCGATGAGAAAGAGTCATCGATCAGCTGCCTCTTGCACACCCCCTACTGGGGATATGCCCGCAACCAAGGTACATGCCCTTGACCGGAATCGAACCCGGGACCCTTCAGTCCCCAAGTCGACGCTCTATCCATTGAGCCAAACCGGTTTCGGCAGTGTAGTGTCATTTTTGATGTTAGTTTCTTAGGAATTATATTATCAATAGATCTTTGAGAGTAGCTTTCTTCACTGTCATTTCCTTTTCCTTTCCATGTGACTTCGCTGCTTCAGGTTCTACTCGTCTTAGTGTTCTCTATGCTGCTTAGCCCATCTGAATACCACTAATAGAAATTATGAAAATATATTCACCGCCAGTCAAGAACCTAAATTAGCTCCCTGCTATCTACCTCAGTCACTTTCAGCCTGGATTTTCTGACTTTTCAGTCTCTCGTGGATCAGTCTTATTTCTCCAACCATATTTACTTTCACACCTTAGCACAAACCCTTTGGTTAGACTACTCTGAGCCCTTCAGATATTATACTCTCCTTGGTGCTCTTCCTACTTATTCTTTAAAGCCCAAATGAGTCCCCTCCCCTCAAAAGAAAAGAAAAAGCTTTTCTTTACTGTTCAAACTCAAACTGTTGCTTTTATACAGACTGGTGAATCACATAGTAAGAGAGAGGTAGAGTACAGCATAGTAGTTAAAAGCATGAAATCAGGAACCAGATTGTGTGTATTTGGTTTTAGAATCTAAACTTTAGACCCTGGCTTTGCCACTTACTACTGTAACCTTGGACTAGTTATTACCCTTTGTGCCTCAGGTTCCTTATAGATAAAATGAGATAATGGTATTATTTACTCTATAAGGTTATTGTGAGGATTAAGAGATTTAATACATATGTAAAACATTCATAGCATTACAGATCAGTTCAATCAAACATTTATTTTCAGGGCTGTGTGTGTGTGTGTGTGTGTATGTGTGTGTGTGGCATTCTTATTTCCCCAATTAGCTATTAATCTCTTTTAAGGCAGAATATTAAATTTTTTGTTTCAATTTCTCAACACTCATGGAAGTTACTCAGTAAAACTTTTTGGCTCATTTAATTTCTCCGTGGCCCATGTTCCTGTGTGAAAACCTTTAGTAAACTCTTTCTTTAAATAAGCTACCCAGGGAGACCTTGGAAAAGCTCTGAGAACCAGGAGTGTTTTAAGTATTCTCCTTCCTGGGGTCAGAGATAAAGATCTATAAAAACATCCACATTTGAGGTAACCTCTAGACCTAGGTAGTTTAAAGCTGAGAATGTTTTGAGATTGGAATAAAAAAAAAAATGTAGCCGAAACCAGTTTGGCTCAGTGGTAGAGCGTCGGTTTGCGGACTGAAAGGTCCCAGGTTCGATCCCGGTCAAGGGCATGTACGTTGGTTGCGGGCACATCCCCACTAGGGGGTGTGCAAGATGTTTCTCTCTCATCGACTTTTCTAACACTCTATCTCTCTCCCTTCCTCTCTGTAAAAAATCAATAAAATATATTTTTTTAAAAATTAAGAAAAACATGTAGGTTTTGGTATTTAACGTAGAATTAACTTTAATCTTAGTTTTTAAATGGATCACTTTTTTAGGTAAACATTAAACTTTTATAAAGAATGAAGTAATCTTTGTTGCAAATAATAATCTTTATGTTAAATATTTTTTAATAAAAACGAAATCATCTCCTTTTTCACAGGACTTCCAGACCCATTTGCTAAGGTGGTGGTTGATGGATCTGGGCAATGCCATTCTACAGATACTGTGAAGAATACACTCGATCCAAAGTGGAATCAACATTATGACCTGTAGGTTTAAATGATTAATCTGAAATGAAACATAGAAATCAGTATTATTTGATAGTCTTGAGAAAGATCTATAAACACTAAAAAAGATCTGGGTTTGATCTATGGTATAATTTGTTCTTCACAGAGGAATATAAAACCTTCTGAGAAGGTACTTTGGTTAATTTATAGCTGGTTTTGGAAAATGAAGTAACCTTCATGATGACTCTATGAAGAACAAAATGTATACACAGTTCCCTCCCTCCACTACTATCAATTAAATGAAGGCATTATTTCACTTTAGGCCAATTATAAGTATAAAACCAGATCATAATTGGGGTTCACTCATAGACATTCTTTTTACTTCTATATGGATGGTTTATTTCCGTTAAATTTTATTTTAATCATAATAATACTAGAGGCTTGATGCACAAATTTGTACCAGTGTGGTCCCTTGGCCTATGGGATCGGGCTGAAACAGGTTCCCCGACATCCCCTGAGGGGTCCTAAATTGTGAGAGGGTGCAGGCCAAGCCTAGTGACCCCATCGGTGCATGATTGGGGCTGGGGAGGGACCTCAGGAGGGTTTGGGATGTGTCTGGTCTGTCTTGCTCAGTCCTGATCAGCCAGACCCAAGCAGCAAGCTCACCTACCTGTCAGAGCATCTTCCCCCTGGTGGTCAGTGCACATCATAGCAACTGGTCTACTGGTCAACTGTCTGCCCCCGGTGATCAGTGCACATCATGGTGAGCAGTTGAGCGGCCTTAGCAAATCATATTTTGATTGGTTGCATGGACAACTGGACACTTAGCATATTAGGCTTTTATTTTATAGGATGGGATATGTACTTTTTCAAAAAGGCAAATGATACCACTGTGAGACTTTTAATGGGAAAATGAAATTCTCTGCTCCCTTCTTATTTTTGCTCTCACGTTTTTAACTTCCAAATAGAAGCCAGAGTTCATACCCTGTCTGACAAGGCCCTTTATGACTTGTCTTCTCTATCGATTAGAGCAGACAGCATCAAATTTTCATTGGCTTAATACACTAGAAGTGTACTAGTATTTGATGTATAAAGTCCATTTGGCAGGGAGGTGAGACTGCCAAACGGCCATTCAGGAATACAGACTGACAGAAGCTTCCCTGTTTGCAGTGTGTGGCCTCAGGGTCTCTATGGGTCTTGACATCTAGCCTCCCAACAGGCTACTTCAGCCATGGTGGGCTGTTCTCAGACTTGAGGGAATCAGTATTTTAGCATACTTATAAAGCAGCTTCCCACTTTGGAAACTGATTTAAAAAAAATGTTTAGCTATTTCATACATGATCTGGTTCTAGAACTTCAACATGTCATGTGTTAGGTACTTGCCATGTTAGGTCTATTTGAAAATCGATACATTCATACTGAGTGATACTTTAGTTAAGATATTTTATTTCAAGCAACAGACATGAAATTCAAATTGGCCTAGTTAAAAAAGAGAATGTAGAATGCTTTTAATTAAGCACTCTCTTTAATTAAGAGAGTGTTTAATTAAAAGTTAGGGAATGGGGTGGGCATGCTTTAAACACAGCTGGATCCAGGAACACACAGTGGCTTTCATGTTCCTCATGTAAAAGTTTTAGTTCTCACTTACTAGTTTAGCCTTTTTAATGTGTTGGTGAATTTTTCTGAATTTGCTGCTTTATTAAATGACATTAAGATCAAGGTTGCTGGACCAAAAATTTGACCTCTTAGAGACATTGAAATATAGTTAGGGTCCTGCTGATAGCATTATGTTATCTTATATTTTTGCATGGGATGACACCATGTGAACAATTGGCTGTGGTAGAGCTTTTACATGCTTGCAGGTATATGCACAGACAAGTGTAGTAACGCTTTTCCCTGCTCTGCTTGTCTGCAGGCAGTGAAGTGAAATCTGCAAGAGTCCTGCTCGCTCAAGGCCTGCATACAGGAAAGAAGCAGGGAAAAAGCGTTACAGTCAGCTTTTGTTCTACAGCATTTAAAAACATAACAGGTATGTCAGATTTTTGGTCTGTCAGCCTTGACACTGCCCCTTGAAAATGAACGGAGTACTGATGAGGTAGCAAGTCATATCATTGAGATATATTTAAAATGTGACTATAAAGATCTTTTTACAAGATTTTGTTCTTGGAATAACCATACATTCTCATGGTGTTATTTAACACCAGCTACTAAAATAGTTTTTTTCACTAATAAAAATTATAACTCAGCCTGAGAGTGGCAGATGTGATAAAGATACATTAAAAATTCTTTTTACCCCTGGCCAGTGTGGTTTAGTTGTTTGGAACATCATTCTATGCACCGAAAGTTTGTGGGTTCGATCCCCAGTTGGGGCACTTATGGAAAGCAACACATCAGTGTTTCTCTCTCGCTCTCTCTCTTCTCCTTCCTCTCTCTAAAAAGCAATTAAAAACCAATTTTTTTTAGATTTTACTCTTAAGATTACAAAAAAAAATTTAAATACAATACTATGGATTGATTGAACTCAAAACATGTTATACATTACTTAGCCATTTGTGACTCTAGGCTACAAAAGCAAAATGAAAATTTTATACTGCTTAAAATTTTCAAGTTACTCATGTAGTCATTTTGTGTTTTTAGGTATATTGGAAAGTCTGATTCAGTTACGATCAGTGTATGGAATCATAAGAAGATCCATAAAAAACAAGGTGCTGGATTTCTTGGTTGTGTTCGTCTTCTTTCCAATGCCATCAACCGCCTCAAAGACACTGGTTGTGAGTAGATACTAGTACTTTTTAAAATGTACATATACATACACGTATATACATGTTTTGGGGAGGAGTTCAAAAACTTCTGTGTATGTTTGAAACATTTGTAATAATTCCTGGCCTAAATTTATTTCATATTATTTAAAAGAAGCAACAAAATATTTTAGATATCTGAATCCTTGAACTGAATCAGAGCTGGTGCTAGGTTTCCAGTGAATATGTAAAGGTTCAGAAATGATTGCTCTCCAGAGAGTAATAAGAAAGATGTGTGTGTGTGGGGGGCAGGGATGGGGGGGCTTGGGATGGGAATGGGATGGGGGAATAAAGACAATTATGTGAGACCATAATCAATAAAAAAATAAAATAAAAAAATAAATAAAATAAAAAGAAAGATGTCAGAATATATGTGCCTTTTTTTATTTCTTAGCACCCTTCTCTGGCTTTGGTGGATTTGTGAAATAAAGTGAGTTTTATTTAGACAATTGGAGTGTTTAAGGTGGCAGTTAAAGGGGAATTACTAGTGAATAAAAATGATATATAAAGCTGGAAAAAAATTAAAGTTAAAGAAAGGTAGACATCATAGATGAGACATGAGAGAAAGGGTTGCCCTTACCTGAGTTAGCAGAACTGACACAAACCCTTATCTTACAGTTTATACTTGGCTGCTTGTTAATACTTGCTTTGTGTGTGGTGGTAGTGGTGGTGGGGTGGGGGATGTTTGCGGTGGTTAGAGAGAAAAACAATGACACTAACATTTATTGAATGTTACTCAGGGATAAATTGCTTAAGAACAACAGCTATTTAAGTGTGGAGCCAAGACACAGACTGAAGTGGTCTGAAATCTTTTGAGAGAAAGTAATTGCATATTGGCAGTATCACACCAGTGTCTCAAGGTTTTTGAAATCTAAATTTATCAAAACTTTTGTTGAGACATTTACATCAATTATAAATATAGTCAGAAAATTTAAAACATGTTTTATCATTAAAACATAATTAATTCTTTAAATCAAGCATGTCAAATTCAGCCCGCTGGCCATGAGTTTGACATGCTTGCTTTAAGTGATATGCCGATTTCCAATGGATTGTGGAAAATTACTATCACTTAATAGATGTTAGAATCTCTGCAACTAGTCTATTTTTTAATTGCTTTTTGTTGTTGCTGATTTGAAATAGATCAGAGGTTGGATCTCTGCAAACTTGGGCCAAATGACAATGATACAGTTAGAGGACAGATAGTAGGTAAGTGTGGGACTAAAAATTACATGAATTTTTGCCTTCATTTAAGCTGACCTAAACTCTAAATACCTTTTAAATAAAAGTGCAGCCCTGGCCAGTGTGGTTCAATTCGTTGGAGCATCATCCCATGCACAGGAAGGTCATGGGTTCGATGTCCAGTTAGGGAACCTGGATACATTTCTATAGCATTTTAAAATTTTGTTTGGTAGTCTGTGGTAAGATGAGTAACTAAGTTAACCAGTTTTTATTGTCGGACATTTAGGTTATTTCTGATGTTTTAATACTATGAGCAGTTGTTGTGATAAACATAGTGTTTCTATGACTCATTTTATATATTGCTAGAATTAGGTACTTAAAATCAGAATACTATCTAAAAATTTCTGAGGTCTTTTGTAAGACAGCATTCTGGAGATATACATTGAAGCTCATGAAATCGTATAGCTTTGATCTTTAATATTATTCTAAACAAAGCTAATGAGAAAATACCTTGTTTCTGCTGGGATTGTATTGTGGTAAGCATTTCACTTAGCCTTTCTGATATAGTTTTCTAGTATAATTCTAACACTAATGTCTTATTTGCATTCACTGAGAAAGTGTGTTAGGGTATTGTCTCCTGTAAATGGAACAATGCATTAAACTGTCTGATTTTTCAAAATTTTTACAGACTCGGAAAGTTTCAGAATTTTGAGACCCTTCCTAGAATGAAGGGTCTTTAAGATGTCATACTTTATGTAGTGCTCTTTTAAGAAGTTGGGCTATAGTCAAGTTTTCCTGTATCTCTTCTTGATTTGAGAGAGTTGCTAAAAATACAATCTATAATAATAAAAACTTAATATACTAATTAGACCAGATATTCTTCCTGATGAAGCTGGGCTGCAAGGGAAGTGTGGGTCCGGAGTGCCAGAGGGAAGCTGGTGCCAGCAGCTGGGTGAAGGAAGGCCTACCCTTGAATGAATTTCATGCATTGGGCCTCTAGTTAAAGAATAAGAGCAACAAGGATTTCAGGCATATTTAGCCAAATTTCCTCATTATTCAGATTGGGATTATTTTACCCTCAAAAACTTAAAAGTCTTTTGTTCAAGGCCACAGAGCAAAACTAGTCGGTGTAGCCTGGTTTAGAGTTCACATCTCTTGCTGCCAAGTTTATAGTGATAGTTTTATTTTTTAAAAATATATATTTTATTGACTTTTTTACAGAGAGGAAGGGAGAGCGCTAGAGAGTTAGAAACATTGACGAGAGAGAAACATCGACCAGCTGCCTCCTGCACACCCCCTGCTGGGGACGTGCCCATAACCAAGGTACATGCCCTTGACCGGAATTGCACCTGGGACCCTTCAGTCCGCAGGCCGACGCTCTATCCACTGAGCCAAACCGGTTTTGGCATATAGTGATAGTTTTATATTACACTGGATGATGATTACTGTTTTAACTCATGGAATTCAGTTATTGTCCAATGTCAGAATCTAGTGTATTTTTTTTTTAATGAGTCAAGAATTAAACTGAAATTAATGTGATCTTTTCAAATTCTTCTGTACATGAATGTACCGTTTGTGTGTGTTGCCTTTTCTTAAGTGAAGTAGTAGCTTTGCATTGCCCATTATAGTGGAAAAAAGTAATTAGACTCTTCTCCATGAATATGATAAAGTGTAGGAAACCTTAAAACTCACTCTTAAAGAAAAAAATCTCATGGAAAAATAAATTACTAAAGAGTTCATTGTAAAATATTAAAAATTAAGCCAGATGTCTTATGAAATTGTAACAGTTCTTTCTTATTTATGACTCTTAGTAATGCTTCTGTTGTTTAATAGTAAGTCTTCAGTCAAGAGACCGGATAGGCACAGGAGGACAAGTTGTGGACTGCAGTCGCTTGTTTGATAACGATTTACCAGATGGGTAAGCTAAAATCATTAGAGAAATAAGTGGATAACATCCTTAAAACAATGAGAAAGAAGTTGGAGTTTATTGTATATGTAACTTGAAAAATTTGCTGATCAATTTCAAAATCTAGGTTTTCCTTGTACTTGGAAAATTAGTAAGGGATCTTGTCATAAATTTATAAAATAAACCACAAATTAGATGCTAAATTTGTTTTTGAAGAGTTTTGATTAGGAAAAAAATTTTTGACAAATAGAACTCTTTTATAAATATTATATATTCAAAAGAAAACGTTTTTTGTTTTATTAAATTACTCAAGCCTGGCTGGTATGGGTCAGTGGTTGAGCATCAAACTATGAACCAGGAGGTCATGGTTTGATTTCTGGTCAGGGAACATGCCTGGGTTTTCCGGCTTGATCCCAGTGTGGGGCATGTAGGAAGGAACTGATCAGTGATTCTCTCATCACTGATGTTTCTATCTCTCTTTCCCTTTTCCTTCGTCTGTGAAATCAATAAAAATATATGTTAAAAAATTATTTAAAACTGGCTATTACTAGTAAGTACTGAATCTGAAACATTGCTCTGTTTAGAGGTATAGAATTGAGAATCTGTATAATAGTAATTATAATAACATAGTAACATTTATTGAGTGTATATATGTCAAATACTGTTATAAGTACAGTATAATGCATTTATATATTTTAATTCTCATAGCATATGGTTCTGGAATTAGATGATCTGGTATCCTTACTCTTATGCTTACTAGCTGTATGAATGTAATAAATTTATTCTGTAAGTTTTGGTTTATACTTATTTATAAAAGAGGATGATGATCATAGTGCCTGTGCCATAAATTGTTGTGAGAACTAAATGAAATTATTCTTGTAATCACTTAGTACAATGTCTTGCATATAGTAAGTGCCTAATAAATAATTAGCTACTGCCCTAGACTGTTCAGCTCAGTGGATAGAGCGTCAGCCTGCGGACTGAAGGATCCCAGGTTCGATTCCAGCCAGGGCATATGCCCAGGTTGCAGGCTCGATCCCCAGTAGGGGGTATCAGGAGGCAGCTGATCAATGATTCCCTGTCATCACTGATGTTTCTGTCTCTCTCTCCCTCTCCCTTCCTCTCTCTGAAATCAGTAAAGATATATATAGATATATATATATATACTTATATATATATCTATATATATGTAATTAAAAAATAATTTACTATTATTACTGCTGCTACTATCCTTGTTACCCTCATTCATTTCACAGATTAAAAAACTGAAACTCAAGAAATTATGTAACTTGCCAAAGGCCACATGGTAGATGGCAAGAGCTGGAACATTAATCTAAACTTATTCCAAAGCTCATGCTTATTTATCATTCTTCTCTATCTTTGATACTAGTTCTGACACTTTTTTGATTTGATTTTTAACTTTCAAAGTATTTTTAATTAACTTCAATGAGGTGTAGCTTATATTCTATAGATTATATCCATATAAAGTGTATAAGTAGCTGAGTTGTGACTTAAATTATTTTTGACATGACATTTTACATTCAAGCTGTGGCATTTGCTCATTTTATTTAAACTGGTAAAAATCACTTAAATTTGTCCAATTTATAGATCTTTTTAGCTTCTTGATAGATCTGTTAACTTTTATGGATGTGAGGTATAATATGGTAGTTTTTATGGGGAAGTTGAAGGTGAAATAACTAATCAATATTGAGAGATTACAACAATGTAAAGCTTAATTATTCTAAACTTGCTTTATATTATAAAAGGCCAGCACGGGTGGGCGGAGCTGTGAGTGTGGCGAGTGGGCGGGGCCATGCAAATTCACATGCTGTGTTTCTAGTACTATATAATTGTAATCATAGGGAAGAGATCATGTTAACATCTTTTCTTTTTTAAAAATATATTTTTATTGATTTCAGAGAGGAAGGGAGAGGGAGAGAGAGAGGGAAAAACATTCATGATGAGAGGGAATCATCGATTGGCTGCCTCCTACACACCCCACACTGGGGATTGAGCCTGCAATTGGGACATTTGTGCCCTGAGCAGGAATCGAACCATGATCTTCTGGTTCATGGGTTGATGCTCAACCACTGAGCCATGTTGGCCAGGCCTTATTTTCTATTTTTTAAGGCCTTCCAATGACTGCCAGTGTTTTAGTGGAAATATTAACATTACCACATCTCTATAGTCATTAGACTAATTTTTGTTATGTAAATTAATAAGATATTGAGGAAAAGGTGACAGTCTTGCTTTTTAAAAAATTAGTTTGAGTAGGCTAAATGCTTTAAAAAGCTTTTTATGTATTTTCTTAAATTAAATATTTAAAAAATTATGTGGATTTTAGTATGGTCTGCACTGCCCTCCCTCCTAAATTCTTGACAATTAGTGTAATTTAATTGAACCTTTTTGACATTATTGAAAAATTCTCAGTTTGGCTGATGGAAAATATTAATTACACCTCAATATAAATATTTTAGAAGCTTCAGAATTCCAGAAAATATATTGTACATTTAAAAAATAAGTTGAAAAAATTCCTATAGTCTGTGACTTGATCTTTCAATTTGTCATTCTTGATTCATACTCACAAATCTTTTCCTGGCTTGGTTAATGCACTGAAAAGATTTTGTATCCAGCTTCCTACTAAAACCGTATCTTTCAATATTTTTACTTAAGCTGGGAAGAAAGGAGAACTGCCTCTGGAAGAATCCAGTATCTAAACCACATAACAAGAACTACGCAATGGGAACGCCCAACACGGTAAGAACATACAAATATCTTCCCATAGTTTATGTTGTTCACCCTCCTGAAGGCATTCCTTTCTGTTTAGCTATCAGCTTTACCAGATTTCCTATCTTGGTTTATACTTCTCTAGATCAGTAGATCTTATAGCAAGTGCCATTATTATTTTTAAAAGTAATTTTCAATAAGGATTGTTTAGCAGGTTATCCTGTTATTGTAGCTGTAGGGCCTGCGATGATACTCAATACATATTTATTAAATAAGGTAAATGAATAAATCGAGAAATCATCTTATTTCTGGGACTCTTAAAATTTGTTGAGCCCATTATTGAATTGCTGTAACAAAATATGTATACAGGATCTACATTTGTTCAGTCATGTAGGGGGATGAATATATTGTATTGCACCCAGTAAGGTCTGTAATCAGGATAAGAACCAGATGCTCTGAGGTTATATGGAGGGGCACCTGGCTTAGAATTGGGGGAAGGGGATGGTGGAACTTGCGGAGGAAAACTCTGAAGGGGCAAAATCTCTGAACTAAATCCTGAAAAAATGTTAGGGTTTAGCCAGGTAAGGGGAAGGTAGTAGTGCTCACAGCTATCGTGCAGTGCACCAATGGTTATATGCCAGGCACTGTGCTCAAAACACGTTGGAAAGACCTTCATGGAGCTTAATGTGTGAAGACATAGGGATGCAAGATATTTTTTTTTTTTAAAACTCCAAGGGAGTACTTTATACATTACTGAAAATGAATAGGATAAGTGGCTGAATATTTTTTCATTTTTTTAAAAGTAAGAACAAAGTTCAATAACAAAAAAAAAAAGTAAGAACAAAGTTTATTGCCGCCTGTACTCAGTGTTTGTTTTGTCCCCACTCCACCCTGAGCAGGCCTGGCTGGCACTAGACATAGAACATCAAATGCTTCTCATTAGCTATACGTACTTTTATTTGCTAGGGATTAATTGTTTAACTCACTGAGTCACAGTTTTCCCTATTGTGATTCTTGGTTAAAAACTTAGCTCATGTTACTATTTAAAAAAAATTAAAAAAAATATTTTATTGATATTTTTACAGAGAAGAAGGGAGAGAGATAGAGAGCTAGAAACATCGATGAGAGAGAAACATCAACCATCTGCCTCTTGCACACCCCTTACTGGGGATGTGCCCGCAACCAATGTATATGCCCTGGACCGGAATCGAACCCGGAACTTTTCAGTCCGCAGACCAACGCTCTACCACTGAGCCAAACCGGTTTCGGCTTAAAAAATTCTTGATAGTACAGTGAGCAAATTAGCATTTTGTTTTTTATGTCAGGTTATTGTTTTGGACTTTCAGAATCTAAGAGAAAATATTTTTCTGTTGATAGAATTTATTCCCGTGCCCAGCCTTCACTCTGTTTATCAGACTTGCCTTTCTGAAATAAAAGCCTATCTCAGTCTCTTAAAAAAAAAGATGCTTGAGAGTTGCATTAAATGACCAACGTTTTTATTGAAGTGAGATAGCTTTTTTATTATATTTGCGTATAAACGAATGTGTACTTATGTTAGTGTTTTAGCGAAATCCGTTTCCTTCTACTTCATTCAAACTGATAAAATAGACTTTAATTTCCACACGTATAAAGTTGATTGTGTTGTAAATGTTAGTTTAAAAATTAACTCTTGATTATCCTCTTATTTTGGATGACCTTCAGTAGACTGGAAGCTCTTTGAAGAGACAGACTATTTTCTTTTAATTCATTCAGTATTTATTGAGCTGCTCTTACATGTATGCCAGGCACTATTTTGGGTGAGGGGGTATGTGTAAAGGGGAACAAACTAGGCATTCTTATTTCTCAGTAAGTGTTCTAGTGCTGGAAGACGGACAAAACAAGGAAGCAAATAAGAACAATATCAGAAATAATTGCTATGCTGTTGAATTAGGATGATGCACTATCAAATGCGATTACTTCAGATTTTACTGTCAGGAAGGACCTCTTCAAGGCCACATTAAAGCTAAATGTGATTTGAATGATACACACACACACACACACACACACACACACATATACCCCACTTGCGCAAAAAAAAGAAAATAAAGGACCCTGGTCTAGGAGGAATAGGAAAAAAACACACCACATTTTAGGTGGAAGAAGGAGCTTACTGTCCAGAACTAAAGGTAGCCGACCTGTGCAAGTTCAGGGAGCAGGGAGAATGTCAATGTGGCAGAAGCAGAAGTCAGGTCTGAGAAGTGGGCTGTATAGCTAAGTCAAGTCGTGCTTGGCGAGCTAGTACTTATATCTATAGATATATGTGGATTTCATATAAAATGTAATTAAAATAAATATTAAATGATTTAAAGGCATAATTGACATTCTGCTAATCTCTCTAATTTCATTGGTGCTTAGAGGTTTCAGGCTTTTATTCAGAGTTTGTGAAATCATTATATTTGTATTAATCATTCCATTTTCCTATCAGTGATTGTTACTGCAAGTACATACATTGTTTAAAGAGTACTACTTTTGATATTTGAACTGAGTAACTTTTTTTTCTATTACTTTTCAATAGACCGGCATCTGAATATTCTAGTCCTGGCAGACCTCTTAGCTGCTTTGTTGATGAGAACACTCCAATTAGTGGAACAAATGGTGCAACGTGTGGACAGTCTTCAGATCCCAGACTGGCAGAGAGGAGAGTCAGGTCACAGCGACATAGAAATTACATGAGCAGGACACATTTACATACTCCTCCAGACCTACCAGAAGGCTATGGTATGACAACTAGCAGAGGAAAAATAAAGTGTGGTTTACTAATTTAAAAAATAAAGTGTGGTTTACTAAGAAATCCGGAAAATCAACTTTTTAAATAAGTTATTAATCTGGGTTTTGGAATTCTGCATGAAAATAAAAGTAAATGTAAAACCTCCCAACTTTGAAAAGTGTTTGAAATTGTGGAAGACTGCCTAACCAACAGTTTGACCTTGGGGTAATCATTTAACCTCAGCATTTTTGCTCTTTTATTTTTTAAAAAAGTTATTTTTATTGGTTTCAGAGAGAAAGGGAAAGGGATAGAGAGAAACAACCCGGGCAGGTGCCCTTGACAGGAATCAAACCTGGTGCCCTTTAGTCCTTAGGCCAATTCTCTATCCACTGAGCCAAACCAGCCAGCGACTTTTTGCTCTTTTGTAATGAAATAAGATGAATGATACCTCTCTGTATCACAAAAGTATTGTGAGCAGCATATGAAATAATTTACTTCCTTGTAAAATAGGCACTGTATAAAGGTAAGATGGTATTGTTATTGATAATGGAAATCTGCAGTCAGACCTGAAATGTAATTTTCTAGATATACATTTTAGAAATAATTCCAAAAGCATATTTCTATTGGTATTTATATATTTGTATTGCCTATAATTTTGAATTATTTGCGTAATTGGATTATTGTTATAAATGATTTATTCATTTCTGTTTGTATAAAATTATAATCTTATATTATAATCTTATATAATTTCCTGAATTGTAGAATTTCATGTGAAGGATGACATGAATCTTCTAGTTGAATACGAAACTTTCTAAATCACAACTTGTGAACATTCTTGCAGATAGTATGAACTCAACTGTCCTTTCTTGCTAAATGCTAACCAGTTATATCCTTGTGCTCTCAACAGTCTGCCCATAAACTGTCCTGGACTGCTCGTGACACCTAGTGGCCAATATTGGGAATCACCTGATCTAACTTTTATTTTTAATGTAGGATATTTTTAAAACTTTTTTGCAGACACACGACTTTAACTTTTTTTTTTTTTTAACGTATTTTAACTCTTTACTTAAATTTTATCCTGTTTTTCATTGTGCTATGCTACACAGGCGAACTTTCAGCACAGCTTGGGCTTGGGGAACAGGCAGGCATGGTTTATATCCTGCTTGGCCACATAAGAGTTGTATAATAGTGAGCACATTATTTAACCTCTCTGAACCCCAATTTTATCTTCTAAAAAAAGGGGAAAATGATAGTACCAACCATGTAGGCTTGTTACAAGAAATAAATGGTAATTTCATTTGAAGTGCCTGATACAATGTCTAGCATAGAAAGCACTTAGTAAATTGTAGCTGCTATTATTAATGCTCAGACCTCAGAATAAAGTATTTTCTGCCATTTCCCTTTAATTGAGATTATAAGGCAAGCTGTTTGGAGTGGGAGTGGTTATACTTTTATAATATTTGTATGGTATGGATTAAATTTTAAAAAAAATCCAACCAAAACATAGGAGTAAAGTGGGTACCAAGGCTGAAATCTTTGCAGTTGTCATCTATAACCAATTTTAATTATTTTTATGTTTATAATTTTTAAAAGTTTAAACTTGAAATTCATTGACTTAATTATAAGTTTATAAACAAATTTATACTACTAATAATTAGCAATAGTGTTGTCATTTTGTATGTTGAATTTTTCATTAGATTTTGTTTAAAAAAAATGGATAAGTAAAGACTTAAACCACGAGGGAAGGAATGTTCCACAGACCCCCCCTCTGCCCTGGCTTCCTCACTCCCCAATATGCACACTGCTCTTCAGTCCTCATCTTTGCCTATTTTTAACTATAAGTGTCTTGTCTCCCTTTTAAGTCCAAATTTGGTCTTGACAATATACCTCTCTAAGGAAAAAAACTAGACATAAGAAAAAATAAACATTACTGTCCTGCAAACCCTTTGAAACTTTCTGAAAGTTCCTCAAAATCTTTCCAAAGTTGGCTAGCTTCTTTCTCTGAGCCTTCTCTTGCTCCCTCACGCTCCACATTCAAGACAAATAAAGGGTCATTTCTTCATGTTTGTCTTGTTGAATCATTGGTACTGTCACAATCCTGTTTCTATTTTGCACTGCACAATAGTTAGTATTTGAACCATATTATAAGTATAGTTGGCTTTAAATAGCTAACCTGTGACACCTCATCACTAATAAGATTGTTTTTAGGAGAAAATGTATTCTGAGTTCAGAACAAATGATTTGTGAAACAAAATTGTTGTAATGATACAGGTTGATCATTTGGATAACTTAATATAATATTCTCATGCCTATAGCTGTCTTTTATTTGAACATTCTGAATATATCTTTATTATTAGTGTTTCTTAATTTTACAGAACAGAGGACAACACAACAAGGTCAGGTGTATTTCTTACATACTCAAACTGGCGTGAGCACGTGGCATGATCCAAGAGTGCCTAGGTAAGAACACATTCTAAATGTTCCTCATATCGTGAATCTCCATTTTACTTAGGATTTCTTAGATTATTTAATCTTTAATGTCTTAAAATAGCTTATGTAAAAGTTGGATCTTTCTAATACTCATTTCAGTTTGAAGTCTGTAGAAAACCTTACCTATCTCTCTGCAGTCCTACCCCAGTGTCCTAACCTCTAACCAGTCTCTCACCACTCTTCCCTTTTAAAAAGTCTGGGCAAAATGCCTGGCCAGTGTGGCTTAGTAGTTGAGCTATTACCTGTGAACCAGGAGATCAGGGTTTGATTCCCGGTCAGGGCACATGTCCTGTTGCAGGCTAGATCCCCAGTAGGGGATGTGCAGGAGGCAGCTGGTCAATGATTCTCATCATTGATGTTTCTCTCTCTTCCTCTTCCTTCCTCTCTGAAATCAATAAAAATACATTAAAAAATTAAAAAAAAATGTCTGGGCAAAAACACGAGTCTTTTGGGAGTTTGAAAACTGACCTGGGGAAAAAACATACAAAATCTTAAAAAAAAACAAAAACCCAAATCACCCATTTTTTAAACGGTAGTAAATTGATATTTTTATTTTTGGTTAAGCTTTTTTTTTTTTTTTTTTTTTTTTTTTTTTTTTTTTAACAAAAACCTTATTTATTTTAACCTTATGTGAGTGTATCCAGTGTTCCTTAATAAAGCTTCATTTTAATATAGAAAATAAATAACCTAATTAAATTAAATTTTTATTAAATGCCAAAGCTTATACTTAGAGCTCTATTTGTCAAGATTCATGACAAAACCAGATGTGACTAGCTGATTTTGGATTGCTTTGATACCCTCTCTTTATTTATAAATAAAGCAAAGTAATAAAAATATTTTACTTTTTCATAGAACTTAGTCTTTTGAGGTTGGCAACCAAAGAAATGTGCTATCATTAACTTTCGTATCAAGATTGCCATTTCTCTGTCTTGGTAATATAAGTTGTTAGTTTTAAAAAAGTAGTGGGGAGGAAATTTTTGTTTTATGAATAAGCTCATTGAAAAAAAATCCATGGGCCTGACTTTTAGCAACAAGACTTTTATTATGTAAATTATAAAAAGTGGTATGGGTCCAACTGAAGGTCAGTGATGAGCTTTTCAATAAAATAATTAAAAATCATTAGAAGGCAATGTATAGAAGAAAGTGATTTTTAAAAACTAAATGTTTTACAGTAGTGAGAAAGTACATCTTGAGTTATCTGTTGAAAGAATAATATGTAAGTTGGCATCAGAAGATGAAATAGAGATGTCTTGGCAGCACCGTTGGTAATATGTTCTTACTCCTAAGGAAACGTGTCAGTTTTTCATTAATATATATGTGGTTTCAATAAAGGTTTAAGAATATTTCATGTTGAGTACTGAATAATGGCTTTATTAAATTATGCTCTGGATTATTTTTCTTTTCCTTAATCTCTATGCTCCAAATTGTTATCTTAACAATCAACCTTCATATCATCATATCTATATACATAAAAGGCTAATATGCTAACTGTCCGTCCAGGTAATGATGTCACAGAGCAACTTTTCCCTAGTGACGACTAGCCTCCTTGGAGTTTCTTCAGCTCAGGAACACAACTTGCTTTATAGCCAGGTGGAAACATTTTACACTGTAACCAAATGTCTGTGCAGCATTTCCCATGCCCATCCTCACAGAAGTCCTGGAGTAGGTAGATAGGAGACTCAGTGGGATCCTATTTTCTTTTCATTAGCCAGAAAACGGAGATTTAGAAAGCTTAGAAACTTGACCCGACTGAAAAGAAGTAAGAAATGGTGGACCTTGAAAATGACTTCAGGTTTTCTCACTGTGCAGAATATAGTAAAAAAAACTGCTACATTTAAATATTTTACCCTTTGTTCTCCCTGTGTGATCTACAGTAATAATCTGTTTTGTGTTTATATTTACTGCTGTGTTGTTGACAACTACCTGAAAGAGAAGTTAGGGTGCTTCATTGGGCTAGAAAAAGTTTAGCTAATCAGAAAGCAAGTCTAAGCAAGTTTTCTCTCTCTCTCTCTCTCTCTCTCTCTCTCTCTCTCTCTCTCTCTCTCTCTCTCTCTCTCACACACACACACACACACACACACACATTCTCATATATATATATATATATATATATATATATATATATATGAAATACTAAGTTGACTCACGCATGTGCAATACATATAAAGCTCTAACTGGTGCCAGTCACATGCGTGTGTTTCCATCTGCCATGTCGATCCTGAATTTGGTTGACACTTTTAGTATAGAGAAAGGGTGAATAGTGATACTAAAATATTTCTTCTAATTAATTTCCTTTCAATGTGCACGAATACCACTAGTATCATCATATCTCTTGTTTTTGGAGGATCCTTTAGTAAACATGCTGTTTGTATGGAGGATCTGTTATCAAAGCAGACTATAAATATCTAGATTCTGTTAAAATATTACTCTTCAGCCCTAGCTGGTTTGGCTCAGTGGATAGAGTGTCGGCCTGTGGACTGAAAGGTTGGGGTTTGATTCCAGTCAAGGGCACATGCCTGGGTTGTGGACTCAATCCCCAGTAGGGGATGTGCAGGTGGCAGCCTATTAATGATTCTCTCATCATTGATGTTTCTCTCTCTCTCTCCCCTCTCCCTTCCTCTCTGAAATCAATAAAAGTACATTTTTTTAAATCACTATTCAAAGACACTTATAAAATAGTATAACTCAGATACTTCATTTCAACATATCCAGTAAACTTAGCTTGGCTTCTTTATCTGAGAAGACCCATTTCATTAAGTTTTGCTTATCTCTTTAAGACAGTGATTGATGCCATTGCATCCTCACTGTGTAGTCTTGAAATACAGCTGTTACTTTTTATGGCTATGAAACATTTTTCTTTAATCATTTTCCAAGTGGAAATAAATATTGTTCCCAGTTTTCTGCTCTTTTAATCAATTCTTTATAGCTCTCCATGTAAAACTGTAGATTTATAAGTTTGAAGTAAAAAAATATGAAATAAAATTCTGCATTATATCAACATTGTCCTTTGATTTCAGTATTTGCTTTTTATTTCTAAAAGCTCCACTTAGAAATCCAGCTGTTCATTTTTAAAAAAAATATATTTTATTGATTTTGTACAGAGAGGAAGGGAGAGAGATAGAGAGTTAGAAACATCGATGAGAGAGAGTCATCGATCAGCTGCCTCTTGCACACCCCCTACTGGGGATATGCCCGCAACCAAGGTACATGCCCTTGACCGGAATCGAATCCGGGACCCTTCAATCCCCAAGCCGACGCTCTATCCATTGAGCCAAACCGGTCTCAGCAAGCTGTTCATTTTAAATAATCTCTTCATTGATAGTTTGCCTTTGTAATTGTTTCCTTATTTTATTATTATTTTTCCCCTTGTTTTTTTTAATGTCCCATGTCAAAGCTGTTCTCTGTTCTCTGACAATAATTAGGGATCTGATTCTGTGGTTTAATGTTTCCACTGACTCTCAATCAGCTTGACTTTACTTTCTGAAGTGTTTGGTGATCTATGTGAATTTGTTTGATCTTAGTTTGAGTTCTGTGGACCTAAGTTGGAATTTAGGAAGTTTTCCTGGGATCCCTTCATTTTTCTTTTTTAGTTTCCAACTTAGGGAGGAAGTGTCAGATTTCCTTTTCCAACCTTGCTGCTGACCTGAGGCTGTTTTCCAATTAACAGCTACCCATTGGCGGTCCTACCCCTGTGCCTTCCTGCCACTGGGGTACCAGCTCAATTTCATTCCACTTTATTTTTTAATCCTCACCTGATTTTTTTTTCATTGATTTTTATTTATTTATTTATTAAAAATATATTTTATTGATTTTTTGCAGAGAAGAAGGGAGAGAGATAGAGACCTAGAAACATCGATGAGAGAGAAACATCGACCAGCTGCCTCTTGCACACCCCCTACTGGGGATGTGCCCACAATCAATATACATGCCCTTGACCGGAATCGAACCAGGGACCTTTCAGTCCGCAGATCGATGCTCTACCACTGAGCCAAACCGGTTTTGGCTTTTCATTGATTTTTAGAGAGAGTGGAAGAGATGTGGGGAGTGAGGTAGGAAGGGAAGGTGGGAGGGAGGGAGGGAGGGAGGGAGGGAGGGAGGGAGGGAGGGAGGGAGAGAGAGAGAGAGAGAGAAACAGAAACATCCATGTAAGAGAAAGACACAAATTAGTTGCCTCCTGCATGTGCCCTGACTGGGACAGGGGATTGAGTTTGCAATCCAGGTACGTGCCCTTGACTGGGAATCGAACTCTCTACCCTCTGATGCTTGGGCTGACGCTATAATCACTGAACCATGTCAGCTAGGGCAAGCTCAATCCACTTTTTCTTTAAAATTTGAGAAGGAATTTTAGAACTTTCCCTCTTGTCTCTTTTGAGACTAACAGTGTCTCAAATACCGTGTTCTTGTCAAGCTATAGTTTTGTAACAGGAGTCTCTTGGAGCACCCATAAGCAGAAGCCAGATTTATGGTTTCAACAAATCTGTGGGTGCTTATATGTGCCTATAGCTGTGTTTCATTATGACCAGTCAAAATTTTTTCCTAGTTTAACTTTTAAAACATGATTTTGAAGATATTTGTCATTATAATTATTTGTTAGAGTTTAAGTTTACATTAGACATGCTGTTCTTATTTCATTCTTAAGGTCTTGTAAATCTTTGTTTATAATATTTAAGAATGTGTCATACATAACAATGGGATGGGTCCATTAAAAGTGTTTCTAGCCAAAACTAGTTTGGCTCAGTGGATAGAGCATCGGTCTGCGGACTGAAAGGTTCCAGGTTCGATTCCGGTCAAGGGTATGTACGTTGATTGCGGGCATATCCCCAGTAGGGGGTGTGCAGGAGGCAGCTGATCAATGTTTCTAACTCTCTATCCCTCTCCTTTCCTCTCTGTAAAAAAAATCAATAAAATATATTTTAAAAAATAAAAGTGTTCCTCCTTTTGCTTTTTTTGTAGCAGCAAGCCTTAGACTATTCTTCCTTACGTATCTTAAACAGGTTCTTCACTAACTAGCTTAAAAATTCAAAATGCAGATGTTATTCTTTAAAATATATGCTGTGATTATTTTAAGGATCCGAATTTTAATATAACATAGTTTTGCTTTGTTGGAGAGCTTAAAATTAATAATAAAATGAACATTTATTTACCCATATTTTACAGTATAGTGATGAAAGAAAAATTGAAGGGAAATTTTAGAAAACATTTCATTCCTTATACCACTGACATTTGTAAAACAATATTTTGTCAGATAAGGATTGAAGTACAGTTTATGTTGGCAAGTGTTGTGATTGCTTTTATATTAATTTAAAATCTGTGTCACATTAAAGCCCAGGAACAAATTTTTTAAAAATGTAGGCTATGTGATAAGTTTCTGGGCCATTTATGGATTGCGTTTTAAATATGCAAGTTTGTTAAACCATTGGGAATTAAAGATTCCAGCTGAACATCTCAAGTTTCTGAAACAATACATTTTCTCAGACTTCATGGAATTGTTCTGTGTCATTTACACTTGCTTGGCTCAGCAGGCTCAGCAATGAGGTATTTTTTATTTTTTATTTGTTTTTGCAGGGATCTTAGCAACATCAATTGTGAAGAGCTTGGTCCATTGCCTCCTGGATGGGAGATCCGTAATACAGCAACAGGCAGAGTTTATTTTGTCGACCATAACAACAGAACAACACAGTTCACAGATCCTCGGCTCTCTGCTAACTTGCATTTAGTTTTAAAGTAAGTTTTTGAAACAATATGTGTGAAAATGCGAGTTTGAACATGAGAAGACGGATGGTGCTTTCTGTAATGCTGTCTTCCATTATTTTGTTGAACAAAATGTTATATAAGAATATGACAAGTTTTACTTTGATATTAAAAAATGAATATTTTAATCCTGCTGTGCTTAAGCAGAAGCCTGCACCGTGGCACACGGGAAGAGACAGGCTGCTTTATGGGTAGATGGATAAAATTCCGTTTTCCAACTCTATACAGTCATATGGGTTCTAAGAAATAACCTTTGGAGCTAGTTTTTCGTCGTCACAAATGACAAGCCAAGAATACATAAGGTGTGGAAATGATGCAGCTAGATTTTTTTTTATGGTTGATGGTTATTTTAAATGTGTAATTGTAATCTTTTTCGTTCAGTAGTATTTTTATTTACTTATAGTCGGCAGAACCAGTTAAAAGATCAACAGCAACAGCAGGTGGTATCGTTATGCCCTGATGACACTGAGTGTCTGACAGTCCCACGGTACAAGCGAGACCTGGTCCAGAAACTAAAGATTTTGCGGCAAGAACTTTCCCAACAGCAGCCTCAGGCTGGCCATTGCCGCATTGAGGTTTCCAGGGAAGAGATTTTTGAGGTAAACTTTCAAGTCTTACTGAAAAATGACATTTTAATGTTTTGCTGTGTTTTCCAATAAACTTTTTGAGATTCTTTAGAATGAAAGAGTTTTCGTTAATTTCTTTTTTGATTGTGGGGACTAATGGCAATAACATGGTAGAGATGTAATGTAGAAGGTAAACATTTAAATAGGAAGAATAGTGGTTGTTGTTCCAGTGGTTCAGCGTGGCCTCTGCATTGCCAGTGTTTGTTAATAATGAGTTTTGAAAGACCTTAAGTATCATCCACCTCTTATTTTCTAATGCTTCCAAAAGGTAAGGGGCTATTAACTCAAAATCACTTTGTTTCATTACTGTTGGACTACTTCCTTCGTTTATTGAAAATCTACCTTCCTAATATATCTTTTATCTTTGGGTTTTATACCCAAACATCACTTCAGAGTTCTTACAGAATTAGTGCAGAGCTCCAAGGCAGGACTTCCACTCTTTAGAGGACTCCTGGGCAAGAGGTTTGGGGACTTGAGAACCCTTTTCCCAAAAGATGAACTTTTTTTCTCTCAGAACAGTTCTGGTCTTGTCTATAGTCCATCATTTGTATTTTAAAATAATAACATTGTCCATTTAATGAAGAGGACACTAATGATTACTTATATTCTTTTGGAATTTTCTTTTTCTTTATTTTCTATTGTTGCCTGTGACCTAGATTTCAACCAATTTGAAAACTTTGGTACTTCTATCAAATTCTGTTTTTAATATGAGTGAAATCATTGCTATGGTTCATAGAACTTTGCACTTGTAGGTTTTAATATAATATTTATCACGTGAATTGGTTTCAGTAGCATTGAGCAATATTCATTTCGTTTTTAGAAGTTCCAAAGAGGTTTCAAACACTTGGATTTTATTCATTGCTTTGATTGTTGAATTTCACCTTATTTATAAATATGTTTTGTAGGTGGAATAGGAGGAAGAATTTAAATAACAGATTTAAAGCACCTAGTAATTATAGTATATTAATTTTTATTTATTTATTTTTATTTATTTTTTTTAGGAATCTTATCGACAGGTCATGAAAATGAGACCAAAAGATCTTTGGAAGCGATTGATGATAAAATTTCGTGGAGAAGAAGGTCTTGACTATGGAGGGGTTGCCAGGTAAAGACTCGCTAATCAGGAAATGTAACATGAATCCTTATATATACAAATTTAAGCGACTCCCTGTGGTATAACCTTCTCATTGATATTTATTTTCTAGTATAATATTCCCTAGTGTTTGCATTAGGACGATATCCTAATCAATACATTCATAATGAGATTAGGATAGTACTTTCACCAGAAGAGGACACTAATGATTACTTACATTATTTTGGAATTTCCATTTGGGACTCCTTACTGGATCATAGAGGCCAATGGAACGCTCTCTGAAAACTAGCTGCAACCATACAGGGGTTGTTGGTAGACTGGCAGGCCCTGTTTCTTCTTCATTACCCCTTCAGTGTGTGTTATTCCCTCTGCTTTACATTGTCAGGGGCAATCTTCAGGCTTTAATTACATAATCTAAACGGAATACTGCTCCCTTTGCTTTCACTGCCGTGCTTTTTAACCTTGTTAAAGGAGTGTGTGTGTTGTCCTATTGTTGTTTTCATACATAAAGTATTTTTTTTAGGTGTGAAAATTCACTTTATGTAAATGTAGCAAAAACATAGCTCTATATTGAAACATTCTAAATAACCATCATGATAATTCCACTTACCCTAATCTAAATCCAGGCTTAATTAGATTGTATTTTCACCAAGTCCCATAATTATTATTTAGCATTACTTGTTTTTACCTGTAGACTTACTTTTGTTCTGTAACCTTTTTACCTGCAAATGGAAGTATTTTAAATTTGGATTTTTAGAATTGATTGCTTGTATATCATACTTAGGACTTGATCGTTTCTGTGGCATTCTTATGATTTATTTATAACTTGGTTTTGAATCTTATTATTAATTACATGCTGATGGGATCTTAATGCCATAATTATATATATATATATATATATATATATATATATATATATATATATATATGCCAGATAAATCATTTTTGTTATTTCTTTTTTTTTAATATATTTTATTGATTTCTTACAGAGAGGAAGGGAGAGGGATAGAGAGCTAGAAACATCGATGAGAAACATTGACCAGCTGCCTCTTGCACACCCCCTACTGGGGATGTGCCCGAAACCAAGGTACACGCCCTTGACCAGAATCAAACCTGGGACCTTTCAGTCTGCAGGCTGACGCTCCATCCACTGAGCCAAACCGGTCCTGGCCATTTTTGTTATTTCTTAACCCCACTATCCTCAGGGTTTAGGCAAAGTAAAAGGGATGTGGCAGAGAATTGCTTTTTCTGATCTTAATTCAATGCTAGAAGCCAAAAGTAGTTGGGTTCTGCTTTCCCGTGTGTTCTAAATTCACGGTGAAACAAAACAAAAATTAGAATTTTCTTTAAAAACACACATACATATACAAGAAACGTATAGCCGAAACCAATTTGGCACTATCAGTGGATAGAGCATCAGCCTGCGGACTGAAAGGTTCTAGGTTCCGGTCAAGGGCATGTACCTTGGTTGCGGGCACATCCCCGGTGGGGGTGTGTGCAAGAGGCAGCTAATCGATGATTCTCTCTCATCGATGTTTCTAACTCTCTATCCCTCTCTCTTCCTCTCTGTAAAAAAATCAAAATATATTTAAACAAAAAACAAAAAAAACGTATAGACATGTCTGTGAGTGTTAGTGTGCTGTGGAAGTTGCTTATATGGAGACCTCACTCTTCGTTTTTAATCTCTATAGAGTTTTTCAAATATTACATAAATGGAGATGATTTGAGCTAGACTTCATCACATTATAGAACTGAAAAACATTTTTCTTTAAGTTTTTGTTAAAAGTATTTCACAGTATTTCCTTGAAGTGTGTAATTCAATGTGTTTAATCCATAATAACAGAACATATCATTTAAATACCTTTCCTAGCTGAGGGGTGCCAGGAAGCGGGATGAGAATTGTATCTGTGATAGCCTAGTGATTGTGTTTTAGTTTCCTTGAATGCGTGTTATCTTTCATCCTTTGAAAAATATGAGGGATTTAATAAATTTAAGGTGATAGTACTATTTATTATGAGGTTTTAAAAATATTGATGTGCATTTGAAACTAATAAGAGATAAGGAACACACCAAAAAATACAGGTAAGGACAAGATGTATTTCTTGGTATGTTCCATACCACTTCTTGGTTTTAAGTGACCACTTACACTTTTATCACACCACATTTCAAGTTTTACACAAAAAAGATGACGGAATGGATAATGAAATGTCCTTATAAAACAGTACCAACAGCAAGCACACTCTACCCAAAAACAAGAGTAAATTACTGCTGTATCATTATCTGTGTCTATGCTACCAAGTACAAGTCTGCTGTGACAGCAGCGGACAAGAAGTGTAGGTCACATGGATATTTTGAACTATACCTTTCCCTTTATTTTATACTTACGATGGATTACAAATTGATTTAGCGTTAAAAGGAGCAGACTGCTGGGATGCATTACATAATTAATAGTTGGTACTTCTGGGTAATATCTTTACACTCTGCTGCTATATCATAAAGTTACCTGTGTGAGTGAGAAGTGACTGCATAATAATAAAATAGGCATTTCCATTTGCTTTTTGGGCATGGTAGATTTTTCCATTGTGATCTATAATTAGTGCTTTATTTTATTTAATTTAAAAAGTTATTTGCTAAAATGATCAATAGCATATTTTAATAAAAATATATTCTTTAACAAAAAATTCCTTTGTCATGTCTTTTTTTCTAGGGAATGGTTATATCTCTTGTCACATGAAATGTTGAATCCATACTATGGCCTCTTCCAGTATTCAAGAGATGATATCTATACATTGCAGATCAATCCTGATTCTGCAGTTAACCCGGTATGGTTGCTGTTCTGGTAATGTGAATTAACAAGTGACCTACAATACTTGTCATCTTTAAATGTCAAAGTAGTCTGGATTATTTTCCTTGTCCTAGTCACAGCTTTCGATTTAGCAGTTCCTCTTTAGTAAATTTTCTCAACTAAATGCTTTTGGATGTGTTTAGCAATTTGGGCCTACGGATATTAACGGCATCTTTGTTTGTAGTAGCTCCAATTCGAAAGAGCATCATTGTCCATAAGCATAGGGTTGATTACATTGTGACATAAAGCAAAATGACATTAGTAGTTACAAAACATAAATTCTGGAGTTAGACATGAGATCATAACTAGGACCTATTACTTAATAGCTTTGTGACCTCAGGCAAATTCATTGACTTGAGCTTCAATTTTATTACCTAATAATAGACAAACATGTAAATTGACCGTACCTCTGCTACACCCAGTCAGTCAGGAGCGAATATGCAAATTAACCTGACAAAGATGGCAGGTTAATTTGCATATGCTGGCACAGAGTGGCCAGAAGAGGTAGGGCACCTGCTATGAGGAGGAGGGAGTGGTGGAGGGAGCTACAGGAGTGGTGCTCCACTGGGGAGTGAGGACTTGCAGGCTCCTGGGCAGCCGGGAGGGAAGCCAGGGGAAAGAAGGTCTATTCTTGCATGAATCTTCGTGCAACGGGCCTCTACTTGCTAATAATAATAATATATTATAGTTTGTACCTCAGAGAAGGGCTGTGAGGATTCAGTGAGATTCTGCACATATATTTAGTATAGCACTTTACATTATTAACCATATAAAAATTATTCAGCACTCATCAAAAATTAGCAGCTGTTACTAATTTGTTTCTACATTATTTCCATTAGCTTTCCATACAAGGGCATACTATATAGCCACTAAAATGACATTGTGGGATAAAAGTTAATGACATTTCAAGGTGGTATTTGTGATGTATTAAGTGAAAAGATGGTTGGAAAATAGTATAATATAATTTTGGTAAATTTGTATATGTAGATTGATAGGATCTACCCTGTAATATTGACATTAGTTATTTATGGGTATTAGATTATGGGTAATGAACATATATTACTTTTTACAAAGAAATAAATGCTGTTTTTAAGATAAAAGGGGTGTTTAAAGATTACTTACTAGAGAAGTCAAAGAAGTTTAAAATACTAATTAACAAAACAATTTATCAGGAAAGACCAGATATACCCAAACATGGTAGGAATGTTAGATACATTGCAGGAGATCCTTCATAAAGGGAAGATTTTTAGGCGAAGGTTTTGCTTGGGGTCCCATTACTGCCATTGTAGTTGTAGTAATAATAGTTCATGTTTGTGGTTGAGCTTTTATCCTCTGCCAGCTACAGTGCCATGGGCTCCATTATCTCATTTTACTCCTCAGAGATCCTTTTTAGATACTATTATTACAATTATTTTTCCAGATGTGGAAAATTAATCCTATAGGGGTTAAGTAATTTGCCCAAGTATGCATAACAAGAAACTGGCAGACTCAGGACTCAAGTCCAAGTTAGACATGAAATCTGTGCCCTAAATCTGTGAGGTTTTGAATTTCAGTTTCTGGTTAGGTCAGGGAAATAGGGAAGTTTAGGGTTGAAAGCTTTTTTTTTTCTTTCTCTGTGACAGCCAAGATTGTAAAGGGCTTAGCAGGATGTGAGAGGAAGAGAACAGGATCTATGGGTGGTTTAATGAAGCTGCGATGGGACTCTTGTCTGGACTTAATATCTCAAGATGAATTTTACAAAATGACTATATCCTTTGAGAGAGGCTTGACTCTGTAACATTTTATAGCGATGTAGGGAATCTTGAGCATGTCCAATAGAAACTCTCCCTAATGATTACTGAGCTTTGGTATGATAGCCTGTTCCATTGAAATAGTTGTAATTTAAAGTATAAGTTGATATTATAAAAAGATTAATGTTGCTTAAATATTTAATTTTTTATTAAAAATTCCCTGAATGGTGTCTAACTTCAGTATTTATATAAACTATTTTCCATTTCAGGAACACTTATCATATTTCCATTTTGTTGGACGAATAATGGGAATGGCTGTGTTTCATGGACATTACATTGATGGTGGCTTCACATTGCCGTTTTATAAACAGCTGCTTGGGAAGTCAATTACTTTGGATGACATGGAGTTAGTTGATCCAGATCTTCATAACAGTTTAGTGTGGATACTGTATGTATTGAGTCTTGTTCATTATAGTTAGAATCTGAGCTTTTAAAAAAAGATCCTGTCTCAATGGATATACTTCTTTAAAATTTAAAAAACATAGAAAGTATGAAAAAAAAAACAAACCCAAAAACAACAACAACAACAAAAAACACATAGAAAGTATGAAGAGTGACTATTTGAATGATAGGACCACATTAGATTTTTCCTTTTTCTACTGCTTTCCTGAATATTTCAAATTCCTAGAAGTTTGTGAACTTTATTACTTTAAAAAGGAAAATAATATCTAATATATTCTATTGTAAAAAGTACTACTATATGTAAGTGGTTTTCTCCAAGTGATGCAGTTTGTTTCCAGTCCTGCATGTGTTAGAATAGCAGATTCCTGCAGAAGTGATGATTGTTGAAGCCATGCTTTAAAAAGGGCGTCTGTAAGAACCAGTTCTGTTTTGAGGGAGGGCATTATCTTATGAAGATACATTGGCCATACTTTTTTTTTTTTTTTTAATATTTTTTTAAATTTATTTTTTACAGAGAGGAAGGGAGAGAGATAGAGAGCTAGAAACGTCGATGAGAGAGAAACACCAACCAGCTGCCTCTTGCACACCCTCTACCGGGGATGTGCCCGCAACCAACATACATTCCCCTGACTGGAATCGAACCTGGGACCTTTCAGTCCGCAGACTGATGCTCTACCACTGAGCCAAACCGGTTTCGGCTGGCCATACGTATTTGCCAAACCATTGAGACTCAAGTAGGGCCTCTTACCTGCAGGCCGGACACAACTGGAGTTTCCCTGTGTTAAAGCCCGGCCATAGCCAGAGCCCTTTCTCACTGCTCAGGAAGTGAAATGCTTCCTGTGTTGATGAGGGTAAAAGCTCTGACTTTTCTGCCCAAGAACTAGGAGGTTTGGAGTATAGTCATATTCAAAGGAATCTGATCTTGTATTTGTCACGGTCATGCCATAAACTGTTCTAGTTTTATTTGTCTCACAGTTAATACATCTGTATTTTAGATTTTCCAATTAAGTATCTTTCCTTTCTAGTGAGAATGATATTACAGGTGTTTTGGACCATACCTTCTGTGTCGAACATAATGCATATGGGGAAATTATTCAGCATGAACTTAAGCCAAATGGCAAGAGTATCCCTGTTACCGAAGAAAATAAAAAGGAATATGTCAGGTAAACACTTCTGTGTTCCCAAAACTGAGAATTGTTTAAATGTTCTAGAGTAGCAAACAGAAAAAACATTTCAGTATTTAGGTTATGTTACTTATTGCTACAAAATAGGTTTCTGCAGAAATTAGTGGCTTAAAAACAACTCTTATTTTATTCTTGCTCAGTCCTGAGGATCAGGAGTTTGGATGAATTAACAGGATAGCACACCGCTCCTCCACCTGGTGTTAGTGGGGATGGAAACGGCAAGATAGCCTCCTCGCTCACATAACTGATGACTCAAGAGGCATGGCCCCGAGGGCTGGGGCTGGCTGGACTAGCCACTGGGGCCTCGCTCTCACTGTTGGCGGCGTTCCATGGTTATCCCCACGTGAAATCAGAGGTCTCTCACTCTTCCCAGCAAGGTAGAGGGGTGGATGGCTGGTTTCCCACAGCACAAGAGAAGTTGTCAGAGCTTTTTAAAAAAATATATTTTATTGATTTTTTACAGAGAGGAAGGGAGAGAAATAGAGAGCTAGAAACGTCTATGAGAGAGAAACATCGACCAGCTGCCTCTTGCACACCTCCTACCAGGGATGTGTCCGCAACCAACGTACATGCCCCTGACCGGAATCGGACCTGGGACCTTTCAGTCCACAGGCCGACGCTCTACCACTGAGCCAAACCGGCTTCGGCGAGAAGTTGTCAGAGCTTTTTAAGGCCTAAGCCTAGAACTGGTCGGCGCCACCTCTGTGCTGTATATTTTTGGTTAGAGCCAGTCACATGCCAACCCAGGTTCAGTGTGGAGGAGACTGTACAGGCACAGATACCAGGAAACATGGTGCATGGGCGTGTGCCGTGAGCTTCCAGGCTGGCTGTGCAGAAGCACTTCTGTGCTGTATTCTAGCACCTGCCCTGTTGTAAATAAGCATGTTGTGAGGTTAAGGGTAGATACAAGAAAATGTTCTCCGAGTTTTACAAAATCATCTGTTGATGGAGGAATTTAAAAGTAGTGATCATTTGGCTATGGGAACTAAAGTTCTCCTAAACATAAAACTGGTAACCAAATTAAGAATATAAATAAAAACATGCATCTATACTACTTTATATATATTATGTCCCCAAGTCTTATTAGCTAAAATGTTCCCACTTTATACACAAGTCCCATCAGTCTCATAGACAGTTGATGGGCGTGAGCATCGAGTTAGCTTTTTTGGAAAGCAGTTTGATAATAGCTTCCAAAATAAAAATGTGTATGCTTTTTAACTAGCAGCTCCAGCTTTAGGAATCTATGCTGTGGAAACACATGTAATTATGTAATTATAAGAAAGGATGTTCAACTAAATATTACTTGTAAAAATTAAAAACTGCTAAATGTTTTTAGAGGAGAATGAATATATTTAGAGAAATATATATATTTGGCAGAAGAGTATGTGGATTTTTAAAAGGAAGAGAGACTCTGTATAAGCTGTTGGATTTAAAAAGCAAGTCTTAGAAAAATTATGTAGGGACAAAGTCTGTGTTTTATAATTATATGTAAGATGTTCAGAAAGCGTTTGGGATGAGGGAGCAGAGATCCTGGGCCTGGGAGGAGAGAGGGGAAAACGGATAAAATAATGGACTTTCAGCTTTTACTCTATCTCCACAGTTAGGCGTTTTTTCCCTTCTTTATCTAACAAGCATCTATGATATTTCTAATTAAAAAACGAAAGAATGTATGGGCATTTCCTGAATTTGTCGTGCGTCACTCCCATGACCTGGTGTGGACTGCTCAGGCCCTGGCTCCCACTCTCCAGGAGTCAGTTGTGGTTATAGGGCTTAGTACTATCCTTCGTCTGGTAGAGTTTTGAGACAAAGAAAACCTTTTTACAGATGAGAAGTTTTGGTGTCCTCTTAACCAAACACACAAAAATGAGGTTCCCCCAAAGCATATAATTAATGTTAAGTAATTTATTTCTTAAAGTAGAGAATTATTTCTCCAAATTGGAAAAGGATATGTTGACAAACTTGGAAGATGAATAGTTCTGAGATGTGTAAGATGGAGAGGTTTTCTTCAGTAGATTTTCTTAAAAAGCAATTCACTTATAAAATTACAAGTCAAAAGCATCAAAAAAGGCTACACATTGGGTGGAGTGTACTTTTTGTTGGTAAATTACATCTTCGGTGGGTTTTAAAGCCTCCAGGGAACAATAAATATTTAACTAAAAGGTGTTTACTATTGGCTTTTACTATTTCTTCTCATTCTCTTTACCTCCTCTTCCCTCATCTACTGCTCCCAAAATATAAACAAAACGCCTAACATATTCAGACCGTATTTTCAAGCGAAATCAGAAAAATAGTGATTTTTTTTTTAATGGGCTCCTGTTTGTGGCTTTTGGCTAGAAGTTTAGAAGGAAGTCTCATCCACATTGTGACTTCAGACCCATCCAAGCTCCAGCCAACTTCCATTTTACTCAGAATTTCTCCGACGTGAGGAGTTGCTTTATTGATGCAGCTTTTGTTAATGGACGGTTACCGCCTTTTAATATTGCTAAAGTAGAGATTCATCATGATGACCAAAGCTGAACATGTTGGATCATATGAAACTCCCGCCCCATGTTTCCAGGCTCTATGTGAACTGGAGGTTTTTACGAGGCATTGAGGCCCAGTTCCTGGCGCTGCAGAAAGGATTTAATGAAGTCATTCCACAGCATCTGCTGAAGACATTTGATGAGAAGGAGTTAGAGGTCAGTAAATTGTCATGACATCATCTAGTGTAACAAGGAAAGGTTAGGAATTTTCTCTTAGTTTTAGAGGAAAGTAGTATTTCTGGCACTTTTGAAGTTTCATGGTTCAGTATTGTGAGCATTCCTATTCATAGGAAGTCCATCTTGCTGTGGAATTTCTACAAGTGAGCAATCTCCCTTATGTTGTGAACATTTTTTTTTCCATATTCTTTCTTGCTTTCAACAGATTTCATGTCTTATGTATAACTTCTTCCAATGTTGTTTTCTGTTGAAATTTATTTGGAATGAAATCCTAAGCTCAGTCGATTTACACAAAGCTTTGCAAGAAAGCATTTGGTAAACAAGATCATAGAGGAAATAATTAAAACACTTAGGATAAACTGTATCTAAACATCCTCAGGCTCTTTGGAAACATTCATTAGTAATAGTAGCAGTAATAAACAGTTAACTTTTTTTTTTTTTTTTTTTTTCATTTAAAGCTGGTCCTTAAAGCACCTTAGGTCTGTGTTTGTTTTTTAAAAAAATTAATTTATTTATTTTTATTAAGACCTTTAACAAATACATCTGAATTTTCATTGAACTACTTTGTAAAAAAAAAAAAAAAAATAAGGTTTTATTCTACCAGAGGTTCCAAATTTATGGAGAGCATAAATATTCAAAGTCTACATGATTTATTAATGAACCTCAGTGTCCTTTTAAACTAAATCTGTTAGCAGACCTGTTAGCAAACAAATGTAAAAATTGATTTGACTCAGTACCATCCCCTTTCCTCTTTGTAATTGAAGTGAATGGTTAGAATGAAGTAGTCAGGAGGAGAAAGAAAACAGGATTGACAATAAAGTTGAAATACAATGTATTTTCATTAGTTCATACAATGAATGAGGAATTTGGCCTTATAATTACCACTCTGCTGAAGAAAAGAATTTAGGAGTTACCTCTTTGGTATAAATACTTCTGTGATCCTGTTTGGATAGCCACTTCCCTCTTCATTGTGGCTGTGGCTCCGTAATCCTCAGAACCCTGTAGAAGCTTTGTTGGAGAGTTTATTCAATAGAGATAGGGTTTATTATATAGCTTCTGCTGCTAATGAAATTAAAATTTTTGTTTTACAAAAATATATAATTTATTTTAGTGTTATACTGGGTCAATAAAATGATAGGGCTTGCAAGGTATGTTTCACACTACACACTGTCCTAATGCACTGTCAGAAACACGTTGCTGAGATGAGCTAGCATTGGACCCAAAGGACCCTAAGTATTAATAGTTTGAGGTGATGTTGATAGAGTTCAACTACACTGACCCTGCATCGGGACACCACACAGAGCGCTAAATCAGTGCATTCATGTATTTTGATACAATTGTAAGATTATTGAACATATTGCACCACTTTTCAACAAATTTCTTTCATTTTTCAACCACATTTCTTGAGTTCCTAAACACCACAGGTTGCTGTCAAGGATGCAGTGAAATAGATGTTACTGCCATAGGGAACTAATTGCTGGCCAAGGGGTGTACTGAATTGCTCAGAATCCCCAAGTTAATAAGTGTTGAAACTAGAATATGATGCAGGTCTTAAGTAAGGCACATATAAATTGTATTTACTTGTGGAGTCTAGTTTCTGTCCATTAAAAAAAGAATGATATGGAATTATGGAACTTCCATCTTGCCGAGTTGCTCACAGGAGTGGTTCTCAGACTGGGTGGGGAATTTGAAAGTGAATATAGGTACCTATAGAGCTTTTTAAAACAGCTTCTGAGTATCACCCTAATTCACAGATTAAAATCTCCGTGCATAGGACCTAGTGTGCATATTTTGAAAAACTTTCAAGATGATTCTGGTGTGTACCCTTGATGAATTTAAGAATCACCCTATGAGAACCAGCACTACACACCTGAAGTTCTATTTTGAAGAATTTTTGGCTTCACTTGGGTTTCCATTGGCTCATGCTTTGTGCAATATTTTAACAGCTCATTATTTGTGGACTTGGGAAGATAGATGTTAACGACTGGAAGGTCAACACCCGGTTGAAACACTGCACACCGGACAGCAATGTGGTCAAGTGGTTCTGGAAAGCCGTGGAGTTTTTTGATGAAGAGCAGCGAGCACGGTTGCTTCAGTTTGTGACGGGATCGTCTCGAGTGCCTCTGCAGGGCTTCAAAGCTTTACAAGGTAGCCAGCCCGAGGGCCGGCGCCGGCACCACACCGTGGGGGAGGGGTCTGTGTTTGGGTTATCTAGCTGGTTTACAACCAGTGCTTATCAGTCGATTCTCTTTTCGCCCTGTTTCTGATCTGTAACTCTCACATCTTGATCCCTTCTTCTCCTTCTTTTTGTTACTCTCCCAAGAGCCTGTTCTGCTGGGGTTCTCTGTGTTGTAGTGAGTGCTGCACGCTGGACTGTGTGTGGTGATGCTCTGCCTCTCCATGCCCTCGCTTTCCATTCTGCTGCACATTCCTGTGGGGGAAGTCTGCCCACTGCCATCTCCACATCTCAGCCTGGCAAAAGGTTCACCCCGGGCGCCTCTCCCCTCTCCTTTTTCATCCCTTAACAGAAAGAGGTAGCATGAGTGGTGGAAGCCATTTGATGGGTCAGTGCATGCGCATTACTGCATGGCATCAGCCTGCTTATTTACAACCACATTCCATTTTAAAGCATACTTTTCTGTGGAATAGCTGCTTACCTTTTGGATGAGTTGGTAAAATTGCTAATGACTGGACAATGGTGCTTCACTGGATGGCAGTGCTTTATCTTCGAAGCTCTTCATTTTCCAAGTTGCTGCTGCTGGTGACTGAGGATATATATAATACAAAGCCAGACAGCACATGCTCTGACATTGTTGCCCACAGTGCAGTGTCAGAAGTCCTTGGGGAAAGCATACTCGGAGTTGTGCTGACTGTCCCTACTGGGAAAACTCATTCTTATCAGCCTGCCCGTAAAGTGAAGTTGCATTTCTACATATATTTGTATGGCTGTCTTACGTTAACAAATTTATTCTGTAGACTGCTGATCTTTTGCTCTCAGCCAAGTCTGAGTCATTGGAACCTAAATTTGCAGTTAGGCCGTCCTCTTTCTGAATGTGTGCATATTTAATCATGGGTTTGCCCATTTACTTTTCTTCTCATGCTTTTGGGACATTGATATCCTATATAAGAAAGAAGCTGGCAGAGGATTTCAATCCTGAACCTTTTCTCAAATTTGAAATGCCAGGATATTAAGGAATCCAGCCTTATCCGAGGTTAATTCCAGCTTTCAAACCCAGATTCTTTTCCTGGCAAAAGAATTTTTTTTTTTGGCAACTTGGTAGAGTCACCGGTTTTCCTCTATCCCTAGACCCTGTGGTTTCTGTGCCAGTTTCATCCTGATTTCTTAGAGACGAATACAGGCACCTGCAGTGACCTCGCCCATGCTTGCTTCTTTGGCAGGTGCCGCAGGCCCACGCCTCTTTACCATCCACCAGATTGATGCCTGCACTAACAACCTGCCCAAAGCCCACACGTGGTGAGTTATTTTTGTAGCTTTCTCTCCTTATTCCATGTGTGTATTGGTTTTAAACAGGTAGCTTTTCATTTATTGTTCTTACTATTAAATGGACCTGTAAAAGGAATAAGAACTCAGTGATTTAAGGTTATTCTGACATTGGTGGGAACACCCAAAAGTGGTAATCTCTGCTGTAGAGAAATAGAACCTTATTCCTTTACTTCTCTGTGTGACACAAAGAACGATGTGGCTAGGTGAGGCTAGTTTGCTTATTTTAAACCTGATGCGCTTATTTACAGCTTCAATCGAATCGACATTCCACCCTATGAGAGCTATGAAAAGTTATATGAGAAGCTGCTAACAGCCATTGAAGAAACGTGTGGATTTGCTGTGGAATGACAGACTTCACGGAGTTACCCCGGACTCTATTTATGCTCGACAGCCTCCTCTCAGTAGTTTCAAGGGATGCTGAGGTGCAGGAACATGCCCCCTCCCTTTTTAAAATTTTAGGACACTGTGAGGGGAAAGGACAATTTTGAAATTCCTTTTCAAGGAAAAAACAAACAAACAGGTCTTTATGCATTGCCATGAGGCCGCATTCAGCTGCTATTTAAAATTAATATCTTGAACCTAAAGAATGCTGACTTTTCCTACATTTCCAGAGTTAGGCAGTATTCTACACTTAAAGACTACTACTATTTTTATAAAAGGTAACCTATTCACATCGCTTCACAGATTTCAAGTCTCAGACATCAAGACAACTTCAGCAGGCGGTACAAGTCACGTTCATTTTGATTGATACATGATTTTGAACAGCTCCTGTACTTGCTCTTTGTAAAAAAAAAAAAAAAAAAATGAAATAAAATTATTTTGAATTATTCTACCTTTGTAAACAATTGGCTAAAAGAATCATTGTCTTTAAAAAAGTAAGCCATTTATACATTTAATTACTTTTTTCTATAGCAAAGCATTATATTTTAAAAGCATTATATGTTTCAACCTAGGCTAGATGAGTCTTTTTTATATTTTTTCAAGCACAACTTACCTAAAATACAGCTATATAATTTTGGTTGTCAAATTCCTAATGCAACCATTTAGTCTAAATTTAGTAGCTTATTGCTACATAAGATGCTTTCAGGGGCTCCCTATTTTTAAGAGACTTTAAAAACAAATCCTAATTTTTTATCTTGAATCAGTATGACCAGGCGTTTTGGATTTTACTTTTCACCTTAAATGGAAATCCTGCATTTTTATAGCTTCTCAAATCATGTGGATGGGATAGGATTTTAACTCTTGCTGGGTCAACTTAACTTTAATAGATATACTATTTCTTGTAAACCAAAGTTTCCTCTGACCAGTACACCTAGTTTATATTATATATTATATATGGTGTAAGTTTCTATCAAGCAAATCATCGTAAATCTTTATTCAGCTGCTCATGATATTTTAATCAGCTAAAGTTATGAAATAGGAAAAAAAAATTGCTCTAAAGATTATTTAGCAAACTTAAAAAACCCTGCTTTTACTTAACAAAATGAAGTGGGGCTGGTGCGGCTGGTGGGGCAGGGGATGTGATTACTAAAGAAACGGTGATTCTAACTCTATGGTATAAATGACTTTAAACCGAAGAGTGAATTTTGGAAGGGAATCCCAGTTCCCTTGGAGTTGAAGATCAGCTTCTGATTTTGAAATATCCAGATTTAGCTTTCAGGGTGTGGCATGTCGCATGATCCAGAAGGCAACCATAATTCTGGAGTGAGGGACTGGAAAAATCTGAAATCATGGGCAGATTTTTTTTTAACTCAGCCATTAGAAATCTGAACTATTCTTTTTAAAATATATTGATGTGAAACCAACAATAGCAAGTGTTGATGATATAGCTTTGTTTAAATTTTGTGGCTTACCAAGTGAATAATAGGCCCGTATGTTCTTTCATGGGATGGACTGGTTTTCAGTCTGTGCATGGAGCCACGGGTTCTCAGAGGGGCCTCAGAATGGAGGTTTTCTCGAGAGGAGGGCCAGAGTGAGGGAGAGCAGAGGACTAGTTGGTATTCAGCAGGGGCTTCTAACTCCTTACCTCCACCTCAACCTCCTTTACCCGGAGCAGCTCCAGATTTTTTCTTTCATAGGAATTCCAAGTAAGCTTTCACAGGGTAGGGGAGGATTAAAGAAGTAGAAACCTGCTTTTTTAAAAAAAAGTTGAAAACTACTTATGTAGTTTTTAAGAATTTAAATTCATTGTATTCAGCCAGATTTGACTGTTACATGCAAACCTAGTTATAATCTTAACTGTGCTTTTACTGACTTTTTTCTTCCCAATTTGTGCTTTCCCTCTTCATTCTTAGTAGCACGGAAGAACATCTTGAAAGGTACAGAAAAGGTTTGTGTATTATTTGATAACCAGTCGCAGGTCCCTCTCCCCCGTATTACAGCACGAGTGCAGTGTCATTGTGCCTACTCTTAGAATCATTCAGTAAAAATTAAGTATGTGAACACCAGAGAAATCATAGCTGATGGAGGCAGTGCTAATGAAATGCTACTGTCATAATGGACAATACCAAGCAGGCAAATACCATCGCTTTCCGAGTGCCTTTTTAAATTTTATAAATGACTTAATAGAGCTTTAAAGAAATAAATTACCCTAATAGTCTGTGGTATCACCAACGTAATTTATGAAAACATGATTTAGATTTTATTTTCAAAAGTTATGTCACCTAATTATTCCCAAATAGGTGCTAAGCAAACAACCCCCCCTCATGTGTCCTTGAACCTTAGACTTGCACCTCATGTTTAATGTGAATATTTATTTCCACATGTCCCTCTTAACTGGGTTTCCCCCTAATCCTCTAGTGTTATTTCAGATATGTGCTGTCGTGTACCCATGCATTGCCTTTCCATCATGAATTCTTAATTATGAACAGTGGTTACTTTGTAGAGCTCATATGCAGTACAGAGGTGAGTTTTATTTCAGAGGGTCTTATTTCTCGGTGTAAAGAGTTTTTAAATAGTGCTGTGTATAATGTACATCTTGTTTTGCACATAGTTTGTTGCCTTGGGTTTTATTTTTATTGTCATTTTCCCCCCTTGTATTTACAGTCCAAAGCACAAGTTTCCTTTCTTTTAAATACAATGTAATTTGCTTTATTTTATAACACTAAGTCCGCTTTGAACTTCTGGTGCATTGAGCTGATTGCATTGATGGGAGTTAGAGGTTTTCCAGCCATCTTCTCGTTGACAGAGCAGCCTCCGCTTCTGTTTGTAAGCTGCAGCACCACACGTGGGTGCCATTTGTGGTATTTAACCTTCTGTTGGGTGATGATTGTACCAAATGCTGAGTTGTTTTGTTTCTCGATGTAATTAGTTCACTTAATGTAAGATTCTTCCTTCTCTCAAACTGACTTTAAAAACAAAGTTTTATCATTTTCATTGTATTTGTATTTATTACAGAGTGTTTTAGCTTTGATATTCTTTGTATTTTCACTCAGTTGTTACATGAGCTTTATCAATAACATCTGTATAAATGGTTTTAAAAAATTAACTATGTATGTGCCCATGCCGAAGTTGAGCAATAAAATGAATGCTGTTTGCACTGTCACAGCATCAAAGTTTTTAAAGAAGACTGAGTTTATAATGAATTGTTTTGAAAAAACTTGATTGGCTCTTTGAAAAGTGACAGCATGTGAACCATAAAGTGAGAAGTTTTAAAAGTTTCACACACCTTCTTTAGTTGATGCCTCTGTCAAGTTGGAGAGCTGGAGCTTTAGAGTGCTCAGGACCTCGTTTCTGTCTCCAGGTAAAGCAGGGAAGTGCCTAATGGCATTTGTGCTACCATGGCAAATTGGTCAATAGTTGCTGTGTGTTGGGGAAAGGGGGGGGCATGTAGAGATGGTTTCTTGGGCTTACTGGAAAAGTGTTCCAGTCCAGCAAACAATGTGCCAAGGCTCTGGAGGGCAGAGCTACAGTAGGGGTTTCACTTCCTACCCTGGTGTTGAACAGTAGGATCCTCAGAATGAAATGAAGCCATGACTTTCTTAAGGGTAATTATTCACAACTCTATACGTGATAGTGGATGAAAGTCCAGCTTTAATACCTGGTGGGGAAAAGAATGGAGATGATGCTTTTTTTTTTTTTTTAATATATTTTTATTGATTTTGTACAGAGAGGAAGGGAGAGAGATAGTTAGAAACATCGATGAGAGTGAGTCATTGATCAGCTGCCTCTTGCACACCCCCTACTGGGGATATGCCCGCAACCAAGGTACATGCCCCTGACCGGAATCGAACCCGGGGCCTTTCAGTCCCCAAGCTGACGCTCTATCCATTGAGCCAAACCGGTTTCGGCGGAGATGATGCTTTTTCATCCACAATGTAGTCTGTGTTGTCTCTCCACAGTAAAGGTCTGGGAAATACAGTGATGTAGAAGTAGTGTATTAAAGTTCCAGGAGTGGGCATGCTGTCCATTTTTATCCTTTTGAATTTATTTTTTGCTTTGTCTCATATTGCCATATTTACTGGTTATTATCTAAAATCTGTAAAATTCGCTCTAACCAGATTGGCTCAGTGGATAGAGCATTGGTCTGAGAACTGAAGGGTCCCAGGTTTGATTCTGGTCAAAGGTATATTCCAGGGTTGTGGGCTTAATCCCCAACAGGGGGCTTGCAGGAGACAGCCAATCAGTGATACTCTCATCATTGATGTTTCTATCTCTTCACCTTTCCTCTCTGAAAGCAAAAAACAAAAAACACATAGCCCTAGGTCGTTTGGCTCAGTGGATAGAGCATCGGTCTGTGGACTGAGGGGTCCCAGGTTCAATTCCGGTGTTTGTGGGCTTGATCCCCAGTGGGGGGCGTACAGGAGGCAGCTGATTGGTGATTCTCTCTCATCATTGATGTTTCTGTCCCTCTCGCCCTTCCTCTCTCAAATCAAATATATATATGGTTTATATATGTGTGTGTGTGTGTGTATATATATTTTCATATTCCTGTGGCTTTGGTGCCAATAAAAATCATAGATATTTTAGCCATGACTAGTTTGGCTCAGTGGATAGAGCATCGACCTGCGGACTGAAGGGTCCCAGGTTCGATTCTTGTCAAGGGCATCTACCTTGGTTGTGGGCACATCCCCAGTAGGGGGTGTGCAGGAGGCAGCTGATCGATGTTTCTCTCTCATCAATGTTTCTAATTCTCTCTCCCTCTCCTTTCCTCTCTAAAAAAATCAATAAAATATATATTTTTAAAAAGTCATAGATATTAAAAAAAATACATATATATATATAAAATTTGTAAAGTTTTAGTACAATAAGGAATTTAGTATTACCTATACTATTAATAGAGGCTTGGTCCATGAATTTGTGCATGGGTGGGGTTCCTTGGACTGGCTGGCAATTGGGGCCATCTTGCT